AAAGGCAAAGCCTCACATGCTAGAGCTGTGCATGGGGAAGGGGGAGTTTGATAGCAGAGACCTACCATGAAGCAGCAGCTACAGATCTCTTCCAGCAGGGCTTCTATTGAGCATCCCACCAACCTACAGGTGGGAGAAGGAAGAAAGCACCCACATTGAAGCTTTTATCTTAAAGGGCTTGACAGTACAACAGTATAAGTTAATAAGGTAACACAAACCACAGGGCTGATAGAACCTTTGCTGCATTCACAAAGACAGCAAGGTAAAATTGTGAATCAGTTGAGCAACACAGGAATAAGGGAGGAACACCAGCCACCAGAACAGCAACAGATAGCTGCACAGCACTGCTCCCATACAGCACTCAGCTGCCAGATGTAGGTACTGAAGTCCAGGTCAGTAGAGCATGATCTCACACTCCTTGGTATGACTCATTTGTATCCCATCCAGAGGCTAACAGTTGTAAATCCAACATTAATGCAGCCTCAGAAGGTATTATTCAGCCTGGGCTTCCACCACATTTCTTTACTTCTCTCTTCCCCACTCCAGCTGAGCCCCTCACATCTGCTGTTTAACACCTTTGCTATGCACACAGTATTTGGGTCCATCTGTGAACTGGGGCTTCATGTTACCAAGGAAATCCATAGCAGAAAGGAAAATGAATCAATCTGTGTTAATATCCTACATACTAGACCAGCCTTTTGCAGTTCAGAGCTTTGTAGGTCTGTAGGAATTGCATCTATTTAGTATAGAGTTTGAGAGCCATGGCACAAATCATGTGAAATAAGAACACCAGAGGCAAGATTTTTTTTCCCTTTGAAGGTGAAGAAACTGTTATTCACACAACTGTGCAAAGATGCACAGTGGAAAAGGGACCTAATAGTTATTCAAAATATATCATTAATTGTCCTCACAAGGTCACACAATTATGGAGCCACTTGGCTGAGAAAAAACAAGCAGTCAACTCTAGAAACATACATGGGATATTATACCAGAATCACAGGATTCAAGGAGCTGCTCTCATCCTCCCACCTTGAGAAACAACTCTCTGCTTCTGACCACCTAAAAAAACAAAAGCAGCAACTCTTCCACCCCAGCTCTGCAGCAGGGACTCTAATTAAGAATCCAGGCTTTTTCCAGGCCTGAAAAGGATGGGGTGTGATCCTTCTCATTTACAGTGGTGTGGGAAAGCAGAGACTAATGGGGAAAAGCAACTGCAGAAAGCAGCAATAAAACAAATGAGTGAGGCTCGTGAATTCGGCTCCATTCACCTCAGGGGAATAGCCACCTCTCAACACTGGTATCAGCAAAACAGAAGGCTAGGCTTCTGCGGCCTTCCTGCTTGGGATCTGGTCTGCAAAGTGTACAGCACAGGAACAGGAAAGAAGGGAAGGACACTTCCATCTCAGAAAGGCACATATACATGTGCTGCTCCAGCAGAGAATGGCACATCACAGCCTCGCTGTTTATATTAACACCAGAATAATTAGAGCAGTCACTGTTAACTAGCTAACAACCTCACCATAAACTCTGAATAGCACTGAAGAATTAATTACAACACCTCAGAGCCTTCACAGAATGCAGCCACTAATCTACAGAAAATACTGAAACCAGCCAGAGACGAGCAGGCTAAATTAATCCCAAATGGCTTCTGGGAAAAAACAACACAACTCTCTCTGAGGTACTCACTCTAAAATAATGCCTGTCCAGGGCAGCAACCCAACAGAAATAAGTCCTCAGCAAACCACACCTTTATCACAAGGCATGACTCAGCTCATGAGCTGGTTGCCATCAAAAAATAAAACATAGGGATTTATTTTCAGCCAGGTTCACTCCCTAAACCAGCAAGTTTCCAGGATGAGAAGCTCTCAGCTGCCATGGGACAGCTTTCCTTTTCAACTGTAAGCCTCAGCTCACAGACACTGTGTCCTCAAAAGGTTTTGACCTTTCAAGAGAACTTCCCCATCCAGGGACACAAGCACATAGAAGCAGTGAAATCATTCTCCAGTGTCACATATTTGACACTTATGACAAATATTTATACTTCTCCATCTGTTTCTGTCCCTATCACTTATGCCAAAAATAAAACTGAAGCCTGAAATTGAGTACAAAAACGTTCCTGAAGACTTAACCCACTCTAAGAAAAATTACCAGCAAGTTCAGTCCTCAAATCCCTAAGCAAATTAGAACTACAGCTAAGCAGTGTTTGACTACACCCTGTCATTAATGATAAACTTTGTCTGATGATCATATTTGTGTAGGTTACAGGAAAAAAAAGCAAATGGAAAGCAGCACCTCAATAGCTGGAAAATAGGAAAGGCTGAGTCAAATTTCCAGACGGTTTTGTTGGCTTTTTTGTTTTTTTGTTTTTTGTTTTGTTTTTGATAGCCCGAAGTTTAATCCTGGAAAAAAAGTTGCACTTTTTAATTTGTGGCAGCCCTAGAAGCAAGGCACAAGCCTTGTCTAGGAATCCAAGGGAACCTCCTTGCTTTGCCACAGCTTCTGTTTCATCTCCAAACAAATCAGCAATTCCAGTCTAGTGATCTAGTGTGTATGCCCCTAATTAAACACATTTTTCTACAATCAAGGACAATCCTTAAAGATACCACTTGTGTGTCTTTACTATAATTACACAAGTCTTAAAAACATGAGCTTCTGGAGTGATAGAGAAAGGTATGTATACAAACTTACACCTCATCAGCAGCCACAAATCAAAACAGCCACTCTTCCACACATCTATGATGTTTCTTCCCATTTTTTTTTTTATCTTCCAGAATGGTAACCCATCCCAATTTACCAGTTATCTTCTCTTAAGCACTTCAGACAGTTTTTTCCAAGCACGTCAAGTTTAATGTCTTAATTAAAACCTCATGCTTAATTATATTATTTGATTTCATTCATTTATCCACCGTACCCAGCACTTTGATGCTTTATTATAAAAATTACTAACTACTTCAGATCTGCCACAAATGACTGAGTTATGTCAGCAATTGCTTCTATACACTTCAATCCTCCTCACTGCTTTTACGGTCAGATACCCACATTCATTTAACTGCCTATTATTCAACTGCCTATTAGATGACTGAGTGACCTACCTGCTCAGATACTTGCTATAGGATGTCACTTGCTTTGAGAAGCTAGTGACATAAAATGACTGGATATCAGAGAAGAGGAATTTAAAGTTATGAAGAAAAAAGCTCAGCAGACAAACCTTGGTGAGGACTACTGTCTGCCTTCCTTTCCTGAGATGCATTTGCTTTCTTATCTTTAAGGCATAAACCAGTAACATTTAACCTCACATTGAATTTAAATCGCATGCAACCTAGGCCTTACTTTTGGCAAGTAGCTGAATGGGTAACATGCCTCCTCACTGGCCCTCAGTAAACTGGCTGCACTGCCTGCCTTCTCCAACTGCCAAACTTCAGCAGCAGGGTAGGGCTGGGCAGCAGCCAGCATCTGCCAGAGCACAAGTTAGAGGACGCTGCAAAGTCACCCAGAAGCAGCATTTGCTCACTTTCCTTCACACAGGTGTCAAAGAAGAGCTGCTACTCAAAGCAACCTTTGCTACTGACCTCAAGCAAGCTATTTTCCCCTACCATCATTTGGCTCCTTACACTGCCTGCATGCACAGCATCGGCACAGAGCTCCAAAAGGGAACCACATCCTCCCACATAAGCAGAAACTGCTTCCCCCCGCCCTCCACAACCAGTGTTTGTCGGCACTTTGAGATAACTGAACAGACCCATCTACTCTCCTGCTCATCAGCTACCTGCACTTCACAGCAGCAATGGGCAGGATCTCCCCAGGCATCCTCTCAAGGCAGAGTAATTGCACATATTGATTTCAGATGTTATCAAGCAAACTGCCTTCCACAATTCCAACACGGACTCTAACCTGACTGAGCTCCCAACTAACACATGTCCCTTCCACTCCAGTAGTGCAGCTTGCCTTGATTTGCACCAGATTTATCCTCTCAGCCAGACAGAGACATACTCTGGAGATCCAGGAGCCATCAAGCTCCCCCAGCTTTTACGGTAGCTTTTCCTGAAGCCTCCTTTTCCTGCTCCAGGTTTGCAGGGAGTCTATAAAGGCTCTTCTAAGGTCAGCATTGATACTGCACAGGAGACGTGGCTTGCAGACTGGACCATTCCTTCTACAGTTAAAGAAAGGCTGGCACAAACAACTGGGTTAATACAACCTTCAGTAACTTCAGGAAGCAAACACCAGCAAAAGAGAGTACTCTGGCAAGCAGGCTCTCAGCTGAAGCACAGAGTGGCAAGCTCTGCATAGTGCCACCTCTTCAAACTCAGCCAATGGATAAACCACATAAGCCCCGGTGGTGACTGCTACTCAAACAGCACTTCTTCACAGCAACCAGAACATTGCTACGCTGCCCTTTTAAACATTTTGTCTGCTGCAGCAGGACCAGAATTACACCAGGACTAGCAGCAGCTATCCAACTGCAAGGAAGATCACTGGTTTGAGAAAGAAAGTATCTATCTTCAACAGCATCCATCATAGGGCTGTAATAGTGCACTGTGAAGGGAAGACAAGAGAAAAAATATTCTTCCAATGCCTGGGCCAGCACTACAGTCAAATGTGCATGACCTGGGTCTCATAGGGTCTGCAGTACTCCCCCACTTTCCCCTGTCCAGTTCCATCAGCTGATGAGTTGATTAAAAAAATAAAACCATGCATACAGATGACTCTTGCTGCTCCCCACCCAAAACCTCCCATCCCTTTATGCAGAGAAGTCAGACTGCACATAAACAAATTGCCTGCAGTGTTACCAGTGACACACTGAGTAGGAACAAGGACTGGTTTTACATGTGGTATATAATTTATCACTGAAGACAAACGCCCCATAACTTTCTTGAGACATGCTGAGCCCCTTAAGGAACTCCTGCTCACAGCATAGCAAGATGCTTTCCCTCTTAGAAGAAGTGAGGACTTTGGCTGAGATTTGTATGCACACAAGCAGGATTCAGCATCTTTGTACTCACCAAGTTGGCAGCTGCAGGGAGGCACAAAATCAAGCAGGGACCCTTCTGCTGTTCTCTCATCTGTACCTAAAAAAGAAAGAACCTGAGACTCTCCCTTTGATCTCTGCAGCAGCATTTCATTCATAGATCCAGGAGCATGATAATATTTTATTAGCTTAAAGTAAAAAATACAAAGCTTCTGCAGGAAGAGGAGGCAAACCCTCTACTGCAGACTGACCAGCTGCCCACTGCAGATACCTCTCAAGAGCCCCTGGGGATGAGAAACTCCACAGTCCCTTCCCAGCAGAGAAAAGCTGGTCTCTGAGAACCAGTTAGTGCAAGAACCTTGTGCCAAGCAAAGACAAGCAGAGCTTAAAAAACACTTCATTAGGAGCACTGGCTCAGAAACCTATGGCAGAAGTTAGGTACGAACAATGTGCAGCACATCATTACTCTCTAGGACAACACTGGGACAAACAAGAACTCAGGACACCAGGTCTTCTCATAGCTCAGCTCCAGAAGAGACTGGATGAGCTGAGAGAGCAGCTCAGCCCACCCTCTTTGGAGCCAGGTGCCACCCCATGAACACATACCACAACTCGTATCCAACTCCAAGCACACCAGCTCCAGCCACTGAAACTTATCCCAAAAAGCAAAGAGAAAAAATAGCTGAGACAGGTTCAGAACAGAAGCACTCCAGGCAGCAAACACAAGGCAACCGGGACCAGCCACTCAGCACCTACTGAAGCTTAAAGCCCGGCTCTCACACCGCATTAATAACACGCCTGAACTCCTCGCTGGAACGATAAGAGGCCAGTGCTGACGCTCCTGGTTGCTAAGATCTGGCCTTCTTCAGGAAGGAGCCAAAGGAGCGCACTGGGGAAAGCGAATTCCTGCTGTGCCCGGTGCAGCACCGTGCCGCAACCCGCAGCCCCAGCAGCACAGATAACAACTCCCTTCTCGCCTCGCCCAGCTCCAAGAGCAGCACTTCAAAGGCAGCCCGTGTCGGACGGCACAACGCACCGCCGTACCAACAAGTTCACACCTACCGGGAACGGCAGCGAGAGCTCAGTGGGAACCACGGAGCCTGTCGGGAAGGAAGCCGTTTCCCCCTGCGGGCACACCGCTCACAACCCGGCTTTCGGAAGGATTCCTCCCCCCCGTTTGCTCCACACACCCGGAGCCCCAGCCGCCGCTCCCCGCACAGCCTCGGGGCTCCGCCGGCTGAGGCGACCCGCGGCCCCGCACCTGCCCCAGGCCGGCACGGCCCCACGGGCTGCGGCTCCTCACGCAGCGCGGCCTACGAGGCCGGTCGAGACGGAGCCCCCGCTGAGGCGACGGACGCACAGAAGCTCCGGGCGCGCTCCCGCCCTTCCCGCCCGCTCACCTGCCCTCGGCCGCGCGCCGCTCCGCTCCAACGTGCCGCCGTTTGCAGCGCCCGGACAAACTCCCCGGCACGCGCCCTATCAGCGCGCGCCGCCCCACGGCCGCCCGCCCTCCATTGGCCGCGCGGGATCGGAGCCCCCCGCCCGCCGCCTGTAAATAACCGCCCGCGCGCGCGCTCCTATTGGCTCGCGGCGGCCGCGCCTCTCGCGGCGGCCGTTGGCCGTGAGGTGAGGTGAGGCGAGGCGGCGCCCGGTGCGCTGCGCTGCGGCGGTTGTGAGGGAAAACCCTCTTTTTTTGAGGGGGCATTTGTCCGTGTTGTAAAAACAATAAGCACGCCTGGGCTGAAGGCAGGCTGTAGGGTGAAAACACGGGGGTTTGGGCTATTTAACTTGGCGAAGTGGAGCTGGTAGTAGCCCAGCGCTGCTTTGGAGCAGAGGTCTGCTGTGTGCAGGGAGCTGTTTCAGGCTGTGAGGGACAGACAGTGTGGGGTCAGGACGTGAGGGACGGTGTGGGGATCATGGAGTCCTAGAGGATCCCAGGTTGGAGGGGATCATCAATTGCAACCCCCTGACAGTGTGAGGGATGGACTGAGCAAGTACGTGTGGCTGCAGGCTTGATTATTAAAGAATTCTTGCAACCAGCTAAATGATTCCTATGTTAGAAACCTAGGAAGGATCATCAGAGAGAAAACCAGGAGGAGAACATTCTCCATGAATCAGAAACATTGGGGTAAAGAGGAACTCTTGGATCTGGTGAAAGCAATGTGATGTCAAGGAGAGGGAGGTTGGTAGAGCCTGCTAGATTCTAGATTTTAATATTGGCAATTTAATTTTTAATCTCTTTCAAATATAAATGATGCATTGAGGGCATGGTTTCTGAAGGAACCCAGCTGGGTTTTCCACCCTTGGATAAATTATCTGGCCCTTCCAGGCCACGTTTGGTCTCTGCTGAAGGCAGTGAAGCTACTGTGGAGAGGCATCCTTGTAGCAATTTTGGGTCCAGAAGTGGCTTAGGTCTGTGTTCACAGTGCCATGGCCTCTGAGGAGGGCAGCAGTTTCAGGATCACAATGAAGAGTGCTCTCATTCCCTCAGAGCCTTGCGTTTGTCTTTGCACCAAGGCAGGGCTGGTTGCCTGTGGAACGGGCAGCTTGGGGACACAGCATCGCTGGCTTCACACCAACTCAAACAAAGGCAAGGAGAAATCAGTTCAAATCCTGGCACCACTGCTGCTCGTTGTCAATTCTCATTCTAATTCAGCTAGAAGCATAAAAAAAAAAAAAAAAAGGCCTGTGCAGCAATGGCACCCATCTCATCTCCATGGTCCATAGCACAGATCCCTGTATGCACAGTTATGCAGTTAGGCTTCAAATCCCTGGCATCCTTCTCTGAAAGATACAAGTGTATAAATATAAAAGCCCCATTTCACAGGGACATCCTGAATAACCAGCAGGATCTTGCTCATACAGGTACAGCTTAGTTTCTCTCCAGCAAAGAAACGTTCAACTTCCAGTTCTTTTTGCCATAACTGCTGCCAAGAAACATTGTCAGGGGTTTCAGAAATCATTTGGGCTGCTTCACTGTGGATTTTGACATGCCCAGAAGATGACTGAGAAGTGCTGAAGATTGTCCCCTAAAGACCTGTCTCCTTTAACATCAGTCACTTTAATGAAACAGTGACACCTGAAACAGTTTTAGCAGCATCACCAGGGTTTGAAACTTTCGCCTCAGGCAAAGGCTGCTAGCACTTGTCCCAGTGTAATAACTTGGGTAACAATCCTCTGTCACAAGCTGCTATTTCTCCCAGAAAACAAAACCCATGTGCCTCAATTTCCTCTTTCAGAACACGTAAGTGGTTGCGCTACAAAGCACCAGTGACCAGAGAGTCCCAAATAACATTTAACTGATGTTTCTACCATGAAGGCTGTAAGAAGGTTAAAATAAGGCTTTAGTATTCTGTTCATTAATAGTTGGGTGTAGAATGGTCAGTAATGAATATTTCCCATACATCTGGGTTCTAGAACTAGACAGGTGGTTAACCTGTCCCTCAGTTATAGTCACCCAAGGGAGGCTTCACATTTTCCCAGGCATTTCACAGGTGTGTTTGGTAAAAAAGAATTGAAGCCATCTTTTCTTTAAGAACAGCATGGGCCACAACTCTCTGTGATGCCATAAAGCAGAGCTGAGCTGAGCTTAGTGCTGCCAGCTGGAGTGATCCCTGTTCACCAGCACTGAGGAGCTGCTCGACTGACTTCATGGTTGCTATATTCAGAATCCACTTGTCCACTTTTGACTTTTATGTTTTCTAAAATTAGCCAATAAAGCAATTACAAATAGATAACAGAAGGAGAGAGTACTTCACCAATGAAAGAGAAAGAAAATAGCATGGCATAATTTGGAGCTGGCAGCAGTGAAAATGAGCTGTACCAACCTACTGCCACTGGGAGTACGACTGCAGGCACAGCTGCAGATGTCTAACATGGTAATGGCAGACAGGGACCTTTCCCCATGCAGTACAATCTGGCCTGAGACTGCATTAGGACAGAAGGAAATAAAACCATCATTGAGTGCTGGGAGGACATAAATATTGCTGTCAATCCTGAGGATATATCCAACTGAATGTCAAGAGAGGAAGGGAATGAGTGTAACCAGAAAATTCCAAGCTGGAGAACTGGGTTAAATATGAAAGGGAGTGCCAAAGAAGAAATGAGTGGGTTCAGAGATAGGAGAGATTGTACAGGAAAAAGGTCATCTCTTTTTCAGCATTGCTCGTTCTTAATTTGCATTGTTATGGTGTCTAGAAGCACCAGGTGGAAATTGTGGCCTCACTGTGCTGGGAATTGTGTGCAAACATAATGATTAAATGTTGCCAGCTCTGCAGAGGCTGAAATATCATTCCCCATCTCTGCAGAATCACTAACCAGAATAATTATTGCAGAATAAGTTTTTCTGCACTTGCACTTCTGGAATATCTGTACCATTTGATTTATTCCAGAGTAACCAAGCCTGAGGGGAAGAAAAGATATATTCATTTCAGCTCCCACCTGGTGACTTTCACCAACAGTAATAACTGCTCGGAGGCAGAATCTGCTCACTGCATCTTCATCCACATTCACAAATTGTTTATGCCTCAGTTTCCTTTTTGCATGGAGATAGCAACTGTGCTCCTGGCTCACTCCCCTCATAGAACAACCATGATAGGTGCAGGAGTGCTGCCCTGGGTACACTGTACTGGCAATGTCACACAATAGGGCTTGTTGGTCCTGTTAGTAATGATTAGAGATTAGCTAGAGAATATATTTTTTTTCTTTTGTGTTTTCCGTCTGAAAGGGCTAGAGACAGCATTTAATTGTTTAAGAGTTACTTTTCTATTAGCAAGTGGGTGTGGACAAGCAGCTTGTGTTGCTGGAGGAATTAAAATTGCACCATGTGGTCCTGCAGGAGTGACTGGGGAATGAATGCAAAGCTGAGGATCCCCAAAGACTGTGTATCTTAAAATGCAAGCAGGGAGATGTAAATAAACCCTCCTGTGATTTTTAAAGCAGTTCTGAGACTATTAGGAATCCCTGCTCAGAGGTTGTGAATAGGATCTTTTACAAAGAGCATTTTCCTAATTTCCAATTCTGTGTTTAATAATTCCAAGGTAAGATTTGAGGTTTAACATTACAAGTGGCTTGACAGATTAAGGAAAGGGAAACAATCCCCTGTTCTACTTGCAGTGCTGCCTGCAGATTGACCTCGTGTAAATGGGTGCTAAGGTTAAACTGAGCGCTCCTGTTTTGCTGACTTTCATCTTTGGCTGCTGAGCTGCGGTCTGCCAGTCCCCTCTGCTGGCTGCGGCATGCTGAGGGCTGTGCTGCACTGCACGTTGCATGATGCCAGCACGGAGGAATAACAGCCTTGGACTCAGCCTCATCTCTGCTCCACTGCTTCAAGCACCTGTCACCTCTCTCATAGGGCAGCAGCAAGAGAAAGAGTACCAAAAAAAGGAACCACCGGGTTCCTTCAAAACCAAGGCATTCTTCTCAGAGCAGATAAGCTCCCCACTGGGAATGTACAGCTAGATGTTAAGTTTGCTGAGCTCATGGCCAAATGTAATGGCCTCTGTGTTCCATAGGAGCCACCGTGCCTGCTCCCACCCTGACATATCACAGCCATGGGCTCAGCATCCCAGCAGCCCTCTGCTGCACTCCGGATTGCTGGCTGATCCTGCAGTGTGGACAGGGGTTGCTCGGGGTGGTTTTGCAGCTGGGTGCAAGGAGCTGAGAAGGGCAGCAGCAGGGCTGGCACTGGGCAGCAGCTCCTGATGGCTCCCTGCCAGCCAGCCTGTCTGAGATGGAAACCCCAGTGAAAAGGCTGATAACAACCCATGCTTGTGGCCAGAGGCCCAGCGGCCCTGCACGGGAGGGCAGAGCCCAGGGGAGTCTGCACCAAGTCCAACACGGAGGCTCTGTGCTCTAACACACTGCAGAATTGCTCTGCATGCACAAATTCCCTGGTGCCAAGAAGCACTGCACACCCTGTGCCCTGCCCAGGGCAAGCATGGGCACTGCAAAAGGATGTAGTAGAAAAACTAAAGGTTTATTATTATTATTATTATTTTTTAATAAAATACATTCTTACAAAATAACTCTTTCTCTCCCATGCTGAGGGGCTGAGCATGGTTCTCGCTGGCTCTCCTTCCACCCCCACTCCTCAATCTGGATCTGCTCAAGGCTGCAGGGGCTTGGGGTGCAGGACACCTCAGCACAGGTCCAGCACCCCACACAAGGCTGGTAGAGGTCCCGTGGGTGCCTTAGTGAGAGCAGGTCCCCAGTGGCCCATGCAGGTACCACCTGCTCCAGTGTCCCAGCAAGCCCTGTGCCCAGAATTCCTGTGAGTCGACATCGGACGCTGCTCTTGCTGCCTTGAAGCTGGTGATGGGGATGACGACTGCATTTTGGAAGAGGAGAAGGAAGAGGGTGCAGGTCTGTCGGGCAGTGTGGATGCTGGAGAGAAAGAGGCACAGTGGTTTTGGGTGTCCTATCCCCACAGCTATTTTTCTTCCCAGGGCTACCCCTGAGACCCATCACTCCCGACCTGGGGAAACCCTGCTCACCTCTCACTGTGCACTGTCCTTCCCTTTCTTAGTTGACCTCGACTAGGAGTTAAAAAAGAGAAAATGGTGATGCTTTTACAGAGCACCCCGCAAAGAAACATGCGGTTGGAGAGCACCGATTCCTAACACCCAACATGTGGGATGAATTTGAGGGGATCTGTTTTCACATCCTATGAAAGGACATGGAACATTCCATGGTTGTGGGGATGTTCTCAGAAAGTGATTTGGGAATGTCATTTTGGAGAGGATATAGGGGCTCCGGGTTCCCACTTCTCAGGACAGTGCCTGGGTGCTCCTGGATACATGCGCCTTCACTCGCCCACCCAAGGGAGGGACATGCCAGTACTCACAGGCTCCTGTTCTGCGTACTTGAACTTCTTCTGCTTGTAGTAGTCCCGTCCTTGGAGAAAATGCAGCAGGAGCAGGTCACAAAGGACGGAGGCCTTGAAGCAAATCATAGGCAGGGTTGGGGCTGCCCTGCAGCTCACTGTGCCCGCTATGCTTCCAACCCAGTTTGCCCTATGAACTGGGGTCACTTCTGCTTCTAAGTGCTGAAGAGCACACAGCATCCTGAAAGCCAGGTTAGAACATTTAGGACAAAAGTGTGCTGGATCTAATACTGAGCAATTTAAGCCATCAGAAATTAAGTTCTTCCCATTTAGGTACATGCAGCACACACACCCTTAGGATTATGCAGAAGTTTTTGTGTCTTGCATCAAGATCAGGATCCCAGGATGCTCTGTAGGATGGCACTCCCCACAGCAGGAAGAGGGGGTGTGGGGTCACCTCCTTCCTGAGAGTCACAGCCAAGGGTAGTGAAGCTATATGAGGGCTGGAAACATCCAAACTTACCACTCCAAAAATACCAATCCCAGAGCCAATTGTGGTCATGGTGGGGATGATGTCAAATTTGCCCGCCTGCATAAAATGAGACAGAATTGGTGTTGTGTGACAATGGGCTCACAAGGAAAGGACGTGACAGCTCCAGGTAGGGTTCCAACTGCAGAGCTCACCACTGCTCAGAGAAACAAGAGCTGAGTAAGGACTGTTTTTAGCATATTGGTCAGAAAAAAAATATGATTGGTTTGGGTTTAGGCACACAGATTGAAATTATTTCGCTTCCTATATTTGTAACTAAATGAAGGGACACCCTTTAAATACTGCCAGTGGGAGCACCACGAGGAAAGCCCTTACCTTGCCGTTCACCAGGATGTCAAATCGGATCCCAAACACCTTGTACAGCGTCCTCTTTTCCATCCCATCTTCTCTGTAGTATTTGGCATATCTGTCCCATTAAATGGGGAGTGTTAATGGTTCATTTGGGTGTCTATAACCTCCTGAGTCCCTTCTGCCATCATTGAGTGCTGTGAGATCCCAAAACTATCACCTCCAGCTTCTGCCTGTAGGAGGAGTTCCCTCACCTGAAATTGAAGCCCGGTGAAACGTTGCTTTCGTCATTGTACAGGCCGTGGAACTGGTAAATAGGTTTGCAGTACCGGATAGGCCAGTCGAGGTCACAGTTCCAGTCGATAGTGATGCCCACCACACCACCCTGCAGCCAAGAGAGTGGTCACTGGGGCTGCACTTATGACCAAGTCCATACCCTCTTGTTCCTGATCATCATGCAAAGCCCAAGGAATGGTTTAGTGGTTGGCAGCGCTCCCCACGGCAGGGGGGTTGGTACTAGATGATCTTTGATGTCTCTTCCAACCCAAGCCATCCAATGATGCTGATTCTATGAGTAGTTCTGCAAAAGAGTGCTCTATGGCCCCTATGGAACAGCCTCTGGTTCTTGCCTCTAGTTTTCTCCCATGAGCTTTGCCTCTGGTTTAATCTCACTGCATCAAAACATTATATTTAATGGTTTACATTTAAATTTAAATTAGAAAAAGGCTACATCCAAAGAGCTTCTTCATCCATAAGGGATTTAATTCAGGCTCTTCTGTGCGGCCCTGGGGAAAGCGCATCCCTTGTTCCAGTGACACCAGGCCTGGTATCCCCTCCCCATGGCTGCAGGGGACAGCAGCAGAATCTTCCTTACCTTCACAGCCAGCACACTGAAATTTTGACCTGATTCCTTCACAACATATCCCAGGTCAAACACAGGGCACAAGGAGTCGGTGACTTTGTGGTACGTGCATTTCTTCAGGTACTGCACGGTGACGCTCTCCACTAAGTTGCGCCTGCGAATGACAGAAAATCAAAAGGGAGTCTGAAGATCTGAATCATTGAATCATTTTAATGGCAATGGAGCTCCAGAGGTGCCTGATCCCATGTGTTGTTCCAGCTCATAGATAACATGTCTTACAGCATCCATAGCAATTCTTTGCTCTAGAAGGGATGACGATGTCTTGCATGCCACTCATCTCTGCCCTTTCTCCCCAAAATAGCCTTTCCATGAAGCTTCCCGATCCAGCTGGTTTCGCAAGCATCATACTTTGGTCATCCCCTTTCCATCACTTCTGCTCAGCACTTAATTAGCGGCAGCGATCAAAGACAGGAAGTCCCCTCATGACCCCAGCTGGCTGTGGCTGCCCTCGCCTCCCAGAATCTGCTGTCCCCTGCCATGTCCCGCTCATGCAGCCCTGGTCATTGCCCCTTAAGAGTGGGGACATGACCAGCTTAGTGAGAAATTTCCCATGCTCAGCACAAATAGCTTCTCTTAATTTGCTCCAAATCAGATATGTGATTGGTGGCATCACAAATCCCTTTACATGTGTGCTGGCGTGTGTCTGACCCCACATCCTACTGCTCTGCATTTTTGAGGCAGCAGGTTCGTCCTGGCTGTTCATACCACACTGCCTCATGCAATGTTTTACTGCTTTCTTATGGGGAAAAACAAGGAGAAAGAAGAGAAGGGAAGGGAAAGAGATTAATTTCAGCAACCCCCTTTCTTACAGTCACTGGCCAAGCTGGGACAAATGTGAAAGGGAAATGTTCATCTCCACCAGCTCATCTATATGGATGTTGCAGGCACACCATCCTGAGCAGGTTGGTGGGGGATGCCATCCTCTGTGCAGGCAGATGCATCCAGGCCTTCCCCTTAGGGCCATGGCCAAGCAGAAGTCCTTTCCCAGACCAGCCTTACCTGGACACCTTGAACTTGGGGAAGGTGATGCTGTTCTTGATGAATATGGTGAAGTTCTCCACTTCTGGCAACAGGGCAGGTCTGAAAAACACAAGTGTGGGCACATGTCCACAGCAAGGGGGGAAAGAACTCTGTGTGGGCTGGGAGATGCTTCATGGTGGTCCATGGAGATGGGAGATGAAGCTCATGGCAGAGCACGATGTTGCTGTGAGGGCAAAGAGAACAGAGCGGGGCCACAGGGCCATGCGCAGAGCCCAGGATTGCTCTGCCGACCCCAGCAGGGTGGGAAATAGGGCAGCAGCATCTCTGCTTACGTGGGGATGGGGTAGTCCACTTCAGCAGGGCACCAGCCAAAGATTTCACAGGTCTTCACTGAAGCGTTGAAATCAATGCATTTGCCTGTCATGATTCCTGTGGGATAGAGATGGCTGCTCACATCCCTGAACACTGGGGAACTCAGTTTAATGCTGGGATTTATGGGGTCTGGCTGAAGTTCCAGCTCTGCCGGAGATGTCCAGAGCACTACATACTCAGTTCTTTGGGGCCTCTTTACAAAAAGCACATTTAATTGTGGCCAATTAGCTGCTAGAAAGCTATCAGTTTGGGAAAAACATCCAATTGCCTTGACTAGTTTTGTCAGGAAGGGTTTTTGCAGCTCAGCCATCACTTGGGAGAGGAAAGCAGGGCCAGCCCCAGTGGGACCCTTTCCTGGGATGCTGCACCACAGCAGCAGGTGACTGTACCTTGCCCCTGGCGGCTGTATGTCCCCTTAGTGCAGTCGCTGTCCTGGCTGCAGAGACCAGTATCCGGCAGCTGTTTGGAGAAAGGCACTGAGCATTGCATCCCAGCCTCATATCTGTGCTTTCTGTTTGTCCCATTCTGGGGACAGAACTCATTCATACATCTCTTCCCAGCCAAGGGCATCCAAAGTAAGCAGGGAAAAGAGGAGTATTTTTTTTTTTTCAGTGCTTCACTGTCAAAATTACTTCCTCAGTGCTACCACCACAACCCCCCAAGTTACAGAGGCTGTGACCACTGAAGGAAGCAGATGTGTTTACCTCAGGGCAGGTTCCTTGTTTCTGTCCAGGAGTGATAATGAAGTTGGTCATCACCACAAAAGAATTGTCCCCCTGCAGAGATACAGCCAAGGAGATAATGAGTGGCACAATTGGCAGTTCCTTTATAGAGGAACCTATCCTGCTGGCACAGGAGACACCAAAACCACCAGGGCCCGGCTGGGCTGGTGGCTTCTTCCTCCTCAAATATGGGTTCTCCTTGGGGTGCTATGGTGTCACCAGCCCCAGAGATGGTACGGGACCCTTTCTTCCAAAGGTGCTCATCAGGAGGTATTGTAGGAGCTTTGATCCTTGGTCAGGTGGCATCAAGCATGCCCCATCAGTGCTGGTGGGCTCCCAGGTGTGCTATGTGGGCAGGGGGTTATTGTGGGATCCTCCTGCTTTGCACCATGGAAACTCACATGGTGCAAGGGGAAATTCCTGGTTGGGGTGACAGCAGTCCCCAGCCCCTCCTGCCCCCTTACCTGGGGTGGGAAGACATAATCCACGACATCCCAGATGCGTGGACCCAAGGTGCTCTCGTTGGTCATTGTCAGGCCCTTGAGTTTCACTGACACAGAGCTGATGATGCTGTCCTGTGTCTGGTAGCCCTTCTCATAGAGGAAAACCCACCTGTGTGGGGAAAAGCAACTGGGTGAGGATGGCAGTGTGGGCACATGAGGCACCCTGGGACAGGACAGGATGAGGGATATCATGGGGGATGATGCCAGATGCCACAGGCACATCTCTGTGGCCCAGGTACCATCACCAGGGGGAGATATTTCCCGAATTTCCTCTTGCTGAAGCTCACCCACTCTGTGCTCAAGGCATATGCTATAGCTGCAGGACTCGACCCTCGCCTCAGGCTCATTTAATGTGGGATGTGTGATGCGTTTTGTGGCTGCACGCACACAAAGGTAGATGGAGCAGGATTTGTAGGCATCTGGGATAGAACCCTATGGTGGGTTTGTAGCAAAGGCTGCGGATGCCTGCATATCCCAGCTGGTGGCGGGGGCCAGCTCCTGGCACTTTTTAACTTTTTAACTCAGGGTATAAACAAGCTGCCACTGCATTTGCTCTGACTCGGGGAGACTATAAACATGGGCAAGCGACCATTCTGGATAGCATTCCCGGCACTAAAAAAGGAGCGGTCTGGTTTTCGTCCCCGCCTGGTGCTCTGCCCTGCAGCTGCCGGCCCTTCTGGGGACATGGTGGGGATGATGCTTTCCGGTGTGCCCTGAGACAAGGGAGCAGCACCCAAGGATGGAAGCAGAAATCCATGCACTGCTGAAGAACTCTCCTTTTTCACCCTAAACTGTACTGGGCTGTACAATTTATATTGGGCATCTTCTCCTAGCTGTGGGCTGGGAGCTGGGCAGCCCTACATTTGCCTCCATCCTGCATGCACACAGAGGCTGGGGGACCCAGTGTCTCCTCAAGCAAGGGGAAGAGCCATCAAGCACGGAGCTGCAGGACATGCCGGACTTTCCTCAGTGCTCATGTCTCTGCTGATAGCATCACAACAGCACCGTGCCAGCATCCTCCTCTGTCCCTGGGCATCACTTCCCCCACTGTTGGCATTTTGTTCTCTCCCTGCTGCCCAGCCCACTTTTACCTGGGTTACTTAAGCTGCGGTTCCTTAGGAAATCCTGCAGCAAGCAACCGCCCCTGTGTGTTTGCCATTTGTCTGCAGTTTGGGCTGAGGTCCTGGTGAGCCAGGCAGGAGTGAATTGGGGTTCCACCCCACCAAGGGCAGCCCTGGGTTGCTCCTCCCGGATTCCAGGGACAGAGGGGAAAGACTGTGATGGATGTTGCTGCTCCCAGGGAACTATGGTCTTGCTCTGAGCTCCATGTCCAATAAATACTCACTTTTCCCCCAGTTCTTACTCTACTTTTCCCACTATGCCATGCTTTCCTGTCTATAGAAACCTCTCACAGATGCTGCTTTCCAGCCCATTAGTGCACAGTAGTGATTCCTGCATCATTCCCAACTCTTGTGCCCTGTAACACTGCACCTTATGCTGGCAAATCCCCATTGAAGGAAGGATCCTGATGGTTGGAGGCGGCCCTGACCAGCCATACCAGGCCCGGGGTACCTGAGAATGTGTGTCCCCACATAATTCCAGCCTACCTGCCTCTTCTGTGCCCTGTTTTTAAGCTGCTCTTGGGGCTGCCTCCTACAAGCAAAGAAAACCAGGGCCCTGGAGCGTGGCCTCCAGCAGCCAGGGAGGGCACAGGGAAATTTATGGTCCTGTCTGCAGCCACTTGGGGCTCACAAATCACCGCGCTGGCTCCAGCTGCTTCTCATTTCATACGAAGGAAAATAAAAATAACAACAGATTCTCAGGCCGGCAGCCAGCAGCTGGAGCAGAGCAGAGGGCAGCTCAACGAGTGCTGAGGCTGGGCAGGGCTCGTGGCTCTGCGCTGCAGGGATGGGAAGGATGTGGGGAGCAGCCCCACAGCACGGGGTGACAACGACATGGGAATGCAATGCTGTCGCCATTAACCCCCCCATGTTGGGATATGGGAACGATGGGAACCTCCTTCCTCTCTCCGTTCCTATTTTTCATTTAGGAAAGCAAGCTCACCCTATGATGTACGCCAGGACGATGAGCTGGATCAGCCGGAAGGTCAGTCCCACCTTCTTGTTCCGCACCAGCACCATGCGGGGGGTGTCATACTCGAAGAGGAATGAGGACAGCTTGTCCATGCATTTTTGCCCCATGGCCACTCCGGGGCTGTGCCGCTGGCCCCAATGCTTGCCACCGCCACGCGGCTTGGGCTGTGCCTGCCGTCACTCCTCTGTTTGCAGAGGGATTAAAGTAAAAATAAATAGAATGATAAGGATAAAAAAAATGCTATCGGTGGTGCTCTGTGCTCAGCTGGGCTGTCAGGCTTCCTCCTCTGCACAGGCGGGTTTTCCTCTTCCTATAAGTGCTGGGCTGGGTGCAGCAGTGCCCTATATGGTGCGGGGGTGGGACGGGTGCTGGAGCCCTCCCTGGGGCCGGGAGGGTTCGGGGGCAGCAGGGATCAGAGGCACCCCAGAATTTGGTGCCGATGGTCCCTGAGGTGGATTTGGACTGTGGGTCTCCCGCTCTTGTCCCTAACCTATATCCCACTCCATGTCCCAAAGGCCACCTCTGACCCCATGTCACCATGCTAGATGGGGGCACAGGAGCCCCAACCCAGCACTGGGCAATCAGCCACAGGACCCCAGCCTGGCTGCCCTCCACAGCTCAGCTGCCCCACTGAGAATTGGCTGCAACCCAGCACTTGCACAGGCTGAGCCGAGCACCGCAAGGCATCTCCAGCATTTCCTGCGAGGTGCAGCTGGGAGCAGGGCTGGTGGGATGCAGGCAGGGATGCTGCAAGTGGGGGCCATCATGGGCAGGGGCTGGATCCCTATATATTGGGCTGAAATTCAGGGCCTGACACTGCTGCAACGGGCAAAGCACAGAAGTGTTGGCTGCAGGACCCCATACCTGCACCGCATCCCATCAGCTATTCCCTGGGGTGGGGGTTGCTTTGCTGGGGACTAGCTGGGGGATGTTTTGGGGTGTTGTCTGCAAAGCTCCCCAGCAATACCAGTACTCCCCCCTGCACCCCTGCCGGTCCAGGGGACAGCTCCTGGACAGAGCTGAGGGGCACCAAGATAGGAACATGGCTCTGCTCTTCCTCTGTGTTGGGGAACCGCTTTTGAAAACACAAAGAAGTTTCCCCTGATGGGTTGAATCTTCCAGAACATTCTTGTTAGCCTCACCTATTGCCCTTTGCTTGGCATTGCGCTGCTGTTGGCTCAGCACGCTGCCACCCCACAAGCACAAAGCAAGCAGAACAAATCCATGCACGCTGCAGGAAATGGGGAGCATGGGAGAAACCCAAAGCCACAAAGCCCGAGGCCCAGGATCAGATGCTCGGTGGCATGACTACATCCTGACCCCAAGAGACATGAAAGCAGCCACACAAAGAGCCAATAGCAATGCAAAGAGCTGATGCTAATCATATAAGATTGAAGGCCGATACCGCTATCGAGCGGAGCAGGCAAACCTTATAAGCTGAGATATCTGTCAGGAGAGCAGCAAATAACTTACTGTATGAAACGAGGCCTTTTAGGGAAGGCGCTTCACCCCTGCCAAAGCCATGGGGATAATGAAAATAGGACAGCTAAATTTAACAGCAAAATGACTTGTAAAAGAGTCACTTCCAACCTTCTCCTTGGTACTCGGAGTCAATAAAATGGTTATAACATGGATTTAGCAAAAATAGTTTCCATCGGGAGATAATGGGCACCACCCAGCATGATGTCCCTTGGAGTCACATTGCAGTGGGCATGCAGCACCCAGCACCATGCCCGCAGCACCCAACCGTTGGCCAATCAGCAGCCAAAGCTCACCTACTGCACCTGGCCCACGTCATGGTGCTCACATCTCCCTGGGCTGAATGCTTGTTAAATGACTTTATAACAGGGAGTGTGATGGCATTGCCAAGCTACCTGTCCCCACAACAATGCGAGGTGGCACTGAGCTGTGCCAGCTGGTTAGCATATCTGCGTGCCATCAGCACTATTTGCAGTGATGCTTCTCCCCGGAGATAACCCTGCAGCCTGCCAGATGGTGAACGTAGGGAAGCACTGTGCGTGAGCCCATGAATTAAACTGTGTTTTTATGGGACGTACCTGCCCCTGGGCTGTGGTTGCCTGTGGAACTTCACTGGGTTCCTGGAGCCATGCTGCTGTGCAGGTGCTGGGATCCCTGTGCTGGACTGGGGCTTAAAATTCTCTGGTGAACATGTAACTGCAAGGGCTAACAAAAAGATAATTAAAAAAACAATGGGGACAGAGCATAAAACTGGGCAGAGGTGAGGACAGTGAGTCCATCAGCTCCATTCTGGGAGATAAAAAAGCACGTAACAGCAAACAAAGCATTAACACCCCAATGTTAGCACTTAGGACAGTGCTACCTAAATGCTGGGCTAGGGCTACCCTCCCTGCCTGGCACTGCCAAGCCCCCAGCACCAGGCTCAGTTGCATGCACTGTTCCTATCAGCTCCAAGGGCTGGGACCAACCCAAGAGCATCCTGGCTGCACTGCTCCTCCTGCCCTGCTCATTGCACAGCCTCTACTTAGGGCTACCTAGAGAAAAAAAAATATATATATATAGTATTTTTAACAGGGACACCTGGGAATGTGAGGGCATCCTCACTTCACAGTGAAACCTGGACCACTAAAGGGTTCAAAGAGGGGGTCTGAAAGCCGCCACACATACCCTCATCCCAAAAAGCTGGGGTTGGCACTACCCAGGCTTTCCAGGCTCTCAGGCATTGCTTTTCCAAAATATTCTAGTGGGGGGGTGCTGGAAATAATAATAGATGAAGTTCATTACACAATCCAGACTCACGCTTGGCAGCTTCCAGCGCGGAGCTCTAAATTTCAGCACAAAAAATGTGCAGCACGCTGCAAATCTGGGGGCCGGAGGGAATGAAACACAGTGACAAGTGGGGTAGAAATATGACAGTGAGTGCAAGGGAGACCTGTGCTGGCTGAGGTCACCAGACAGAGCCCCTGCATGTTGGTGGCCGCTACCAGCAATTTTAGCTGTCCTGAGCCCTGTGCTCCCCCTGGCTGGAGGAGATGCTTCCACTACCCATAGGAAGGGCAGGGAAAGAAAAACCTAAAACTGGCAGATACGTACAAGCAAGGGCTACGAAACGGCATGTTCAGCTTTCTTTCCAATTTTAACTTGTCCTTGACCTCCCTTCGTTCCTTCCCAGCAGCGCTGGCTCTGCTCTGCACAACGCCCCAGTGCAGACAGACAGACGGATGTTTTTGGTGGTGTTCAGTGCTTGGCAGAGATGTTTGCATCCTGGGTTGCCATGGCAACTCGCATCCCTGGTTGCAAGTTTGGCAGCTGCAAGACAAGCGTGTGACACCAGGATGCTGAGGGCAACAATGGGTTTGGTGCATCCATCCTATGCCAAAGGCTTCCCCTGGGGTATAGAGGATCCTTTGGTTATTGTAGGATTAGCACCCGCTCTAGGTGTCAGGTTCCAATGGCACCCACTGCCTCACTGGTGAAAGGCACAGTAGTAAAAAAAGGGTTGATTTTGTGCTCACTGTGTTCCCAGGAGTAGCTGTGTTGGGTTGGTTTGATGGTCCAGCTGGCACAGAAGTGGCCCTATGGCAGGCTGCATTCGGCAGGATGATGCCAACCACTGTCCTCTTCCAAAACCTTTCATGACTGCTCTCTCTTAGCCTTTCCTTAGGACTCCACCAGCTTTGCAGCTCCTTTCTCCTCCTTGTTGCGTCGGGAAAGGGCACATGGGGCCAACATCACAGCAGAAACACACATGGAGGGACTCGCTGTGAACTCTGATTTGGTCCAAAGCACAATGTGGCAGGATTTTCCATGCAAAACATGACCATGAGAAGAGCTTTGGGTGATCTGGGGCCATGAGTTTCCATCTCCAACTGTTCTGTTCCACTCCTCAGCAGAGGCCAAATGCTTTCATTATTCCTTCTGTATTAATTATTTCTTTTGGAGATCACTGCAAGGCTTATCCAAACCTACTCAGCCGGGGGGAGTTAAGGTGAGGACTATTCTGGATGCAGTCAAAATTAGCACTGTTATTTGTGTTGCAAATTAGCTGGTACTTTAAAAATTCCCAAGTTGGATCGTGACACTTCTTTCACTTCGCCTTTTGTCGTCTGATGCCAGAGACAAGCTCAGCTCCATTTCTAGTTTGGCTGCCCTGAGAACCCACAAGAAATCCCAATCTGGTGAGCACAGCTCCTTTTAGGGCTGAAGAATGCCCTCAGACACCACGTGCAGCTCCACGAGCTCCCAGCTGCACCCCAAACCTGCACCAGCGGGGCAAGGGCAGGGGAGAATGGCAAAAAAAAAGAAGAAAAAGAAAAAGAAAAAGCACAAAAAACACAGCAAATCCAGAGCTTTCCAGTAAAATTGCTTTTATTTCTGTAATTTCCTAAGTATAAAACAAATCAGCCCAATATTGTGTGAACAGAGTGGTCGGCGTGCATGGTGACAAGCCTGCTGGCTGCACCGCGGGCACTGGGACGCGACATCGGAAGCGATAATTGAGTGGAAAAATATCTCTCATATAATAAAATAGGAAACCTCATTTCTTTTAGTTCTACCCTTCGAGTAACACCCTCCCCCCCACCCCAGTATAGTGATTTACCTCTTGCTACAAAGCACAAATTCAGATTCTGGATTTGGTGTGGGTATCCCATATCAATCCACAAGCACAACCCCAGGCTGAAGGCGTGCTATGGCCTCAATGCTCATCCTCCATTGGGTCCCATGTGCCCAACCTGAGCCCCTATCACTGCCACTCCACGCAGATTTAGGCTCACTTAATGCCCCACACCTACCCAAAGCTGAATGACACTGAGAAGGCAGGACCAGGGTTGGGTTAACCTTTGGCATCTGGGCTAAGAGACTGAGTCATGCTGGGTATGGACCAAAACCACAGTAAATCCCACTGTGATGCTCTCGGTTCTGGCACCTCTCATTTGCACAAACAGCAGCACACAATAAAACCCTGTTCTGCCATTCATCCTCACCCAAGCACAAAGGAAAAAGAATCTGGTCTGTGGATATTCTCCTACTTCACTAAAATATCTGCACTATAAAGCCTCTGGAATGGAATGAAACCCAACCAGAGAGGGTGAGAAATTAAACAGTGAGGGGAAAAAGAGAGATGTGGTTCAACCAGTGAGAAGGGGAAATGGGATGCCTGCTCTGGGTTTCCTGCACTCACCACCAAGTTCTGAGATGGGTCTGGAAGTTCACAAGGAGAAGGCAAACACAGTTGGCTGCTGCCAGAAGAACAAACCTTTGGATGGGGCTCTGTTCTGAATTCTTGCCCACAGTGGTTCACATTTGGTAACTCACAATGCAGCCAAATGGCAACACAACGGCACAGCACTGCCCATGGTGGCATGGTATAGATCAATGATAAAGAAACTTGGCATCACATTAACAATAAAATGACCCAAACACGACCTCTTCCAACAGCCTTCTGCTGGTGGGCACAGAGGATGTCTGCTACCATCACCCCAAGCTCTCTGGCATCATAGGAGATCAAGCAAAAATCACAGAATCATAGAATTATATAGAATCATTTAAATGGGAAGGGACCTTTTAAGGCCATCTGGTCCAGCAGGAATTTAATAAAGAGTTAAAGTGCCATGATTTCATCTCTCTGAGATTTTTTCTTTTAATTCTCCATACATATTAGAGATTCCTACCCATCACTCAGTGCTCATTATTGGGACCTTTGCACATACACACACCTTTGGGTTGAATTAACAATCCCACAGCAGCCATTAGGCTCAGGGTGAGCAGATGGACTGAGCAGGTCCCCTTTGGTGGGACAGACAGTGGGACTGACAGGTCCCAGGGAGAGGCACTGAGAAGCTGAAAACTTCACCAGATCCTACTGATGGGGTGGGATGCTCTGAATCAGCTCTGACCTCTCCCAAATTATCTTCCAGCCCCAGAGAAACAGAAGAACATCTCCTCAGAAGTCCCTGAGCCGGTACTGGATAAAATGCTGTGCTGACATTGGGTGCTGAATGAAATTCCTGCTGGATATCATCCTGCACAGAGAACTGGGGATGATCTGTACCAAACCATGGAGAAATCCACCCTTTTTGTGAAGGGCAAACCCCACACCTGCAGCCCTATGGAAGCCCTGTGGAAGGTGGAAGCAGTACCTGGGGCATGTCCTGTCCTTCTGCACCAGGCTGAGTCTCATTTGTGGGAAAAATTGCCCTTTAAGAGGAATTGGTTGTCCCCATGGGAACACCAATTAACTCAGACATAATGTTTGAAAAATAAAACTTCTTCAAGACAAAGTATAATAATAATTTTTAAAAAATCAGCAACAACCTTCTTCTAACCACAGAGTAACTATAAAGATCTTCCTAAAGAGCTCCATATTAAAATCCCTTGAATACATTATATATTAAATACAGTAACAACATCTCATGCAAGGTTTTCTGTACAATTAGATCAGCTCAGTAGTATAACAATTCTGTACATTCCCATTGGTCTGGGGGCTCTGCTCATCTTTGTCAATGCTGGTGATGGAGAAAAGAAAGAAGGATGGCTTCTGCTCGTAGTGCCCAGGGCAAGGTGTGCTCCTGCCCGTGGGAAAGAGGAACAAGAAAAGCACTGAAAGCTTTTAAGAGGCAAAAGTGAAACAGCAAGATGCTATCGCAAAGCCTGGCTCTAGTGCTGTTGGGTTCTCCAGGCTGGGATTTGGGAGGAAGCAAAGGTAGAGAGTAGCTAAGCATCACCAGGATGGATCGTGGGGAGAAGGAAGGAAAACGGGAGGGAGCATGTGGGGAGCTGGGATGGACGACCCCCCCTGCAGCTCAATGGACTGAATCCCAAAACCGCCCTGATCCACCACCTCCCACTGCGGCCTGCACCATCCTCCTGGAGGAAACAACCTCTGGTGTCCTACCAAGGGGTGCTGCTGGGGGACCTTCTGTACAAGCATACATTCATTCCCATCCTGATGGTGGGTGTCAGGGGTGTGCTGTGCAAGACAGTGGGGTTCCCCATGGCAAAGGACACGAACTCACAGTTCCCCTAAGGACTTAATGCTCTCTGCACAGCTCCTGGCAGGGAAATAATTGAAAATAACTGAGCAAAGGATGCGTGACCAGGAGCAAGTGGGGACACGAGGACGCCTTGTTCGTCCCCGCGCTTGGCTTCAAATACCTCTGGAGGAGATGGCTGCACCTTGAGCAGTGCTGGTAGGAGCTCACAAGACATCGGATGGAGGGGAACGGACAAAACCACGCCACAATTTGGTGTGGAATGAACCTGAGAAGGCGAAGGGCCAGAGGACAGCAGCACAGGGAGACCTCCAGCTTCTGCTGCACACACACACAACCATGGCACCAGCGGTCCTCCAGGACACCTCACCCTGATGCTGTCCCCAGCATCACCGCACCCCACAGACCCCATCTTATGCCTCAAACCCCAACCACCCCCGTGGCTCCCTGCCCTGACTCAGCTCACTGTGCTGGGACAAAGCTTTGTGAGAGGGCCTTCAATGCTGCAGGAACAAATCCCCAAGGAACCACGTTCCAACCACACCATGGCCCTGTAGCTCCATCCCCAAAGCCCTCCGCCAGCTGGCCAGCGATTGCACTGTTATGTACAGGAAAAGGAAAGCGACGAAACAAAACAAAACAAAATCAGGGTTTTTTCTTTTCGACGATTCACCCGCATTTGTCTGGTAGTGGGACACATGCATGTCCTGCTGGCTGCTAGTGGTGGGCACGCATGCAAACCCTCAGTCCGAGTTACACGTTTGGGGTCCTTTAGCTTGGAGCGTCTCCTTCGTGTCATTCATTTCTTGTCCTCTTCTCCTGAAACAAAAGAAAACAAGAAGAAAAAGCATTGGTAGGGGTTTGGGAGCTGCTCATGCTGTGTCTTGATATTCACGTGCACTTCCAGCACCAAGTGACCCATGGCACTTCTACAGCGCTTCTCAAACTAAAAGAGGGAGATGTAGGTTAGATGTTATGGGAAAATTCTTTACTCAGGGGTTGGTGAGGCCCTGGCACTGCTGCCCTGAGAAGCATGGGTACCTCATCCCTGGAGGTGCTCAAGGCTGTGGATGGGGCTCTGGGCAGCCTGAGCTGGTGTGGGCAGCCAGCCTATGGCAGGGAGTTGGAAGAGGATGATCTTTGAGGTCCGTTCCAACTCTACCATTCTATAATTCTCAGCCTGGGCTCCACAGGTGCCAGCACGCACAGCAGTGTGAGGCTCAGTCCGTTTTCCTGCTCGGGAAACAGAGGCATGGCGGCAGGCTGGCTCCAGTTATTGAACACATTGCAAAGACCATGGGAGAAAACAGATTTTGGAATGGTCACAGCCCAGCTGCAAACACGTGTCCTGCCTCAGCCTGGGGACAGTGTCCTCTTCCAGGGAAAGGACCAAACAACAAAACAGAAAGGAGGAAAAAAAATAGCAAACAATCCAACTTTTTCCCAATTTCTGCCAAAATTTCCTTCTAACAATGCTTGCAAGACCCTTTATATCCCAAGTTGAAACGACCTGTTATTGCACCAGCAGCCTTCAGCCACCTGATGCTAAACCTCATTGCCACCACCTGGCACTGCATGGGCACTCCAGGCAGTGAGTGGCTCTGTGTCAGCCGCAGCTTTCCCCAGCTGCTCTGCACTGAAGCTGTGCAAGAGGTGGGTGCAGGGATGGGGGCAGGATGGGGACCCAGTTGTACACTGACAGCAAGCATCTAACTGCAGCCTTGTGCCCCTAAACTCCAGCTGAAGCTCTTGAAAATGCAACGTCCCAGCACACGCTGTAGGTTCAGTAGGACCCGGTCCCACAGTGCCCTTAAACTCCTGTAATTCTGTATCCAAACGCTGACAGCTCAGCTTGGGGTCTGCCTCGTGTTTGGCTTTAGTCGTAATGCACTCCCATAAAGGGTGATGATGCAGCAGGGACACAGCCCAGCACTGATCCCAGTCAGCTGCTGCAGTACAGGGGTTCTGACAGTCACACATCCCCTGCAGAGAGCCCCAGAGAAGAGACCCTGCAGTAGCAACACTGACCCTTGCAATGGTTTGCTTTGGGGCTTGGACCCGTGTCTGGGTTTTGTGCCTTTTGAAATCCACTGAGAAAAAGGACGTCTGCAAGATCTGAGCACAAATGTCTAGAAATCGACCTTCTGCACACCCAGGGGTTCACAAAGTCCAACATACTTAAATGCACAGAGGACAGCAAGTAATGTTAGTACAAGAGGTCCTTGAGGGTGGTCAGCCCCTGCAGTGACCCGGTGTGCACATGGGGAAGGACCAGGAGGCCCTGTAGAACACCTCCACCCTCCTGGCCAGGACATGTGCAGGTCATACCATGCCAAGCCAGCTCCCACTCATGTTCTTCCCCAGAATGGAGACAGCAGAAACCTCAGTGTACGCCTGACAGAGTGGTGGAGTGAGGAGAGGAACACAGAATACTGAGGTCAGGGTGAAAATCCCCAGTCTCAGCTTTCTGCAGCCTCAGGGATGAGGAAAACTCTGTAATGGAAACACCATTTATCTCAGTCTGATCAGCGGAGAAACATTTCCATGCAAAACCTGAATCAGCAAAACTCACAGCTAAACATTGGCAGATGTCAACCCAGTGCCCTTGGCCATCCTTTAGATTTTGGCCTCTCTGCTGCAGGTCCCATGCTCCAGACCAAACCCAAGCCCTGCCTAGCCAAATCCTCTGGGATGCAGTGTGGGTAAGTCCCCACAGTACTCAACAAGGCTTCAGAAGAAGCACAGCCATGTGGGGATGAGACACATGGGGACGCCCACCCTTGCTCTGGAGTCCTGCAGGTTTTCAGTTGATGCTCCCCGCTCCACGTGTTTCTTACTGTCCTGAGAATTCCTGGCAAAAAAAAAAGAATAAATCACAACACCACATTTATAAGTGGCTTTTTGTTGTTGTTGTTGCTGTTTGCCAAACTCCAGAGGAATTAGGATGATGCAGGATTTTAATGATTTCTTTTAAATGTGATGATTGAAGCGTGATTTTGCTGTGATTGAGTAGCTGCATCAGAATCCCTTACTGTATAAAACACAGAGCAAGTGGTGGACATGCACAGCATCATGACCAGGGGGCTCAGGGGATCCAGCACTTCAGGGACATGGCACTGGGGACCAGAAGCAGGGAATACTCCAAGCTGGTGTAAGGCTTCAAGAGGATCATCCCTTTCCAGAAACCGCCTCCAGAAACCTCACTCGGAGCTGGGTTGTTATAGCAAAACACAAAGTGTGGGAGACAGAAACACTCATCCCCAGAGCACAGATGGTGAAGTGAAGACCAAGGCCATGCAAGGGATGTGGCAGCCAAGAACCCAACCAGCTCTCCTACATCCCAGCCCAGCGCTGTGCCTGAAGATTGCTGCTATGTGATGAGATGTGCCGGGGTGATGCAAGGAATCCATCAGTCCAACAAGAGATGCAACAATTAAATAACTTTACACCAGGAGCAATTTCCAACTGGTCTGCAAAAACAAGAGCACCTCCACCTCTCGGTGGTCAGGGAAGCTGGTGGGAGCACCCTGGGACTCAACGATGGCAGTGGTAGCAAGTTGCAGATTTTTCTGCCTGCAATAATTTCCAATCCAAGATTTCCAGGTTTTTTTTGTATTCACACTGCACTGGGAGAAACCAAACTGGGCCACCATGATGCTCCAAATCTCCCCCTGGTCAGATCTGCCTTTAGCTCTGAAATGCAAGAACCTGGCCTTGAAGGTTTAACTCAGCACTGAGATATCACCCACAGCAGTGTCTTTTTCAAGAAATGAAAGAAAACGATGATATCATCCACTCAGAGGGCTGTCTAAACACACATCGTGATTTACAGCGCGTGGGAACCGTGGACCTGCTGTAAGCAGGCTCCCTGCATAGAGTCCAGCCAATGGCAACACCAGTAAAACCAGTTTGTAAGGTGTACAGCTCTTACTAGGTCTTAAAATAGAGGTGGCAAACATGAGAGCTGTGGAGGGGTGCAAAAATCAAAGGGACTTCTGTCAGAAAGCACTCTGATTCCTTTTGCTTTAAAGGAAGGAATCCAGTCCCCAGAGGTTAGAGAGGAGCTGGATAAACACATGTGGCAGATTTATCTGTTGTTCCTGCCTGCAGTGAGCATCTCCAGCAGACTGAGTATCAACCACTCTGCCTGGCGTGGCAGCTGGGGAGGAAGGGGTAGGAAAAAAAGCCCCTTTTTCATAGCTGAGAAAGCAGAGGTGATGGACATGCAGTGCAGATACCATGTGAATTGCCCCAAGCCATCACCAACCCGAGCACAGCACCACGAGGCCCACAGCCCAGCACTGTGCTGCCCATTCTCACCCTCCAGGTGGTTACGGGAAAGGTACTTGAGTCCTTCGTCGAGCAGGATGACGGGCAGGGAGATCTTCAGGACAACCACCCACTGTGGCCAGCTCAGCGGGGTCACTTGGAAGATGAGCTGCAAGGCAGAAAAGGGTTTGATACGTTAATTGGGAAGATGGGATTTCTTCTTATTGCAGAGATGAGGTTAACTTCTGTTGCAGGATACAGATAGAGAAAACATTGTCCCAAGTACAAGGAGGGAGGATCCAGACAGCTCAAAGGGCAGGATTTCTTCAAGGACTGTCATCATTCCAGGAAGAGTCAAAAGTGGTGCACCTCACTTCTCCCTCAGACGGAGAAAGTGAAGCACAAGCTAGAATCATAGAATCGTTGAGGCTGGAAAAGGCCTCTGGTCTCATGTAGTCCAACTGTTCACCCACCACCACTACTGTCCACTGACCACATCCCCAGTGCCACATCTCCATGGTTCTTGAACATCTTTAGGGGTGGTGACACCACCACTCCCTGCACCACTAACCAACCATTCTTTCAGAGAAGTTTTTCCTAATACCCAACGTGAGCCCTAGCACTGTATGCACACACTCAGTGGCATAATGAGGGACAATGTCACCTCCTGGGCACAGCAAGCCACTTTATGCCACACACCCTTAGGTATCAACTGAGACATCCCCAGCCTTGTAACACAAAGGGAGGTGATGTCTCCAAAAGATCTGCATCACCTTCTGGAGGCAACCACACAGCTTTGTGCTGTCTATAAGGACAGTGTCTGACTTAGGTAAATGTTTGCTGCAGTAGGGTGACTCCTGATCCCACAGCAGTTCGAGCCCCAGGACTTGAGGACATTTGTCCCAGAACCTCCAAACCCAAATGGTACCCCAGAGTCACAGGAGAGGCCCCCAGGCTGCATGCAGAGGTGGTATATGGCACTCACAGGCATGGGCTTGACGTAGAGGATGAAGAAATGCAGAGCCATGGACATGACGATGGCCCCCAGCAGCCAGAGGTTGAGCCATGGGGGCATTCGCAGCAGTGACTGGTTCTCAGAGACACTGGGAAAGCAAGGGAACATCGTGAGTGCCAAAAGCCTCCTGGTTCCAACATCTGCCCAAGCTCCTTCACTTCCAGACCATTCACCTTCAAGCTTTGCCGTGATGTGGATCTGGACACCCAACTGGAGTGGCTCTGCTGGGTAAAGCAAAGCCCTCAGCCCACTAAGAGTTGCCTAAAGAGACCTTACAAGACATGGGTCACCTGGAGCAATCCTGCAGCCACCCACCTGTTCAGGGCATTGCACATTTCAATTGTAACCAGCACAGACAGAGCCATCGTGGTCGGGTATCGAGACTCGAAGATTTCACAGTCAACTCCTTCAAAGATGGGGTTGTCTTCAGTGCATCGCATGAAGTTCCTCTGCCAGCACAGGAACCCACCAGTAAATAAATCTTTCCCATCAGGAACACGTGACCATCACAACCACAAACAAAAAGGGGCAGGGGAAGACCTCAACTCACCAACTGATGGAAGGAGACCTGCGGTCCCTCGGTGTCGTACAAGAACCACCAGGTCGCTGCGCCCACCGTGGCCAACCCCACGTACACTGTGACCAAGAAAGACTCCTTAGCTGGAGCCTGGCCATGGTCCCCCTGCCCAGCTTTGTGCCAGACCACTGAGGCTCACCTCCAATGGCCAGGTAACGGAAGAAGAGCCATCCACTGATAAGAGGCTCCTTGGGGTTGCGTGGCAGCTTGTCCATGATGTCCAGATCAGGGGGGTTGAATCCCAGCGCGGTGGCTGGCAGCCCATCCGTCACCAGGTTCACCCACAGCAGCTGCACTGGGATGAGGGCTTCGGGCAGGCCCAGGATGGCTGTCAGGAAGATGCTGCAGGGGGAAAAGCCAGAGGTGTTGAGTTAGAAAGCGTCTGTGTTGTGAAAGGGAAAAGCGGGAACATTGGGTTCTTGTGTGCCAAACTCAGTTTAGGGAAATGACTTTTTACATGGTCTAAAAGGGGAATGGCTTTAAATTAAAAGAAAACAGGTTTAGATCAGACATTCGGAGGAAATTATTTACTTAGAGGGTGCTGAGACCCTGGCACAGCTGCCCAGAAAAGTGTGGGTCCCCCATCCCTGGAGGTGCCCATGGTCAGGTTGGATGGGGCCCTGGGCAGCCTGACGTGGTGGAGGGACAACCAGCCCACAACAGTGGGTTAGAACTGGACCATCTTTTAAGATCCCTTCCAACCCAACCATTCTGTGACTCTGTGACACGAGCTGGTGACAAATACCAGCACCAAGATACCCCACAACTGCTGCCCACAACAGGATTCTCACCACACAACTTCCCCGACGTTGGAGGAGATGAGGTAGCGGATGAACTGCTTCATGTTGTTGTAGATGGCCCTGCCCTCCTCCACGGCCGACACGATGGTGGAGAAGTTGTCGTCAGAGAGCACCATCTCAGCAGCTGACTTGGCAACAGCCGTGCCGGACCCCATGGCGATGCCGATCTCGGCTTTCTTCAGGGCTGGGGCATCGTTGACGCCATCGCCCGTCTGCACGAAGTCATGATTAAAGCGTTGTGAGGGCAGGGTCCGGGCAGGGAGGAGGAGGCCGGGGACTCACCATGGCGGTGATCTCATTGAAGGACTGCAGGTACTCAACGATGCGGGACTTGTGCGCCGGCTCAACGCGGGCGAAGCAGCGAGCCTCGCGACACGCCTGCCGCTGTGCCTCTGGGGACAGCTCATCAAACTCCCGGCCCGTGTAGGCCTTGCCAGACACATCCTCGCTCCCCGTGAAGATGCCGATGCGGCGGCAGATGGCCACCGCCGTGCCCTTGTTGTCCCCCGTGATCATGATGACGCGGATGCCGGCCTTGCGGCACATCTCAATGGAGGAAGTGACCTCCTTGCGGGGAGGGTCCAGCATCCCCACGCAGCCCACAAAGGTCAGATTGGTCTGAGGGGACAGCATAGACCACCTTGAACCCAAGAATACAACCACATCCCTCCCCATCATGAACCCACTGTGGGCACAATGATTCCAGGGCACTTGGGGAGAAAACTTTTGGGATATTTCCCGTCAGTGGCTCCCCATAACCTCAGTACAAAGGGATGTTCCCATCCCGTCCTGTGCTCCTCACACATCTCCACTTCACTCACATCCACCACATCCCTCCTGGAGGTTCCCAGATCTTGGCAATCACCCCATAAGGATGTACACCAATGGGATTGGGCCCTCGTCTTTAGGGAAGGACACCAGTGGGACAGAGCCCTTGGCTTTGGGGATGGAACACCAGTGGGACAGAGCCCTTGGCTTTGGGGTCAGCCTCATTGCATGCAGCTCTGCTATGGGAATTGGAGAGAATGAACTGAGCTATTGCACCACCCAGAGAAATCAAGGGAGAAATACCACTGGGGCAGCTGGAAGCTTGAGAAATAAAGAGAAAAGCCGTAGTACCTCATAGTGGGCAAAGGTGGTGGAGTCGTGCAACTGCATGGTCTCCCTGTGGACGGGTGCATCATGGGTGGCCAATGCCAGGCAGCGCAGCGTGTCGATGCCCATGCCCCAGTCCCGGATCCGGCTCAGGATCTTCTCCCTCACAGGTGTGGTCAGTGGAACCTTGGCTGTGCCCACACGGACATGGGTGCAGCGCTCGATCACGCTCTCTGGGGCACCCTGGAAAGGAGCAGGAGGTAAGGAGCTGCTTTCTGGGGGTCATTCCTGGTCTGCTGCTCTCATCAGAGCTCTTTGGTGCACAGGAGACAAATCTGGCTGCATGCAGAGCAACATCCTCTGTGTGTGAGCTTGGGAGCAATGAGTGAGGGATGTATGCTATGGGAATATGAACCTGAATACTGAGCATCTCCTGCTAGCACTGAGCCGAAGGAAGTGACAGCACAAAGTCTGGGAGGAGGAGAAGGGAATCTTCCCAAAATGTGAGCACGAGCACATCCTGGCAGCACAGTGCACTAGGTGGCAGCCTTGACACGAGAGACTGTGGCTGGGAAGGATGAAGTGGACTCAGGTTGGTGGGCATGGAATCCGCTCCACGGGGATCTGCCTCATTCCTGCCTGCCTGAGGGGCTCCCACCCCACTGTCCCCAAAGGGAAAGGGGGGGTCCCACAAAAAAAAAAAAAAAAAAAAAAAGTGCTGCTACCTGTAAGATGCTCATGATGCCTTTGTGATTTAGGAACACACAGCCTTGAGCATCATAGCATCTCACCCCGTCCCTTTCTGACCCTGATGTTCCCCTTTATTTTGAGATTTGTGATCCCTCTATTGCTGCTCTGAAAATAGTTTGCAAGAATGGCAGCTCTGGGTGGCCTCTACTTGACCTGGAGGACAGAGTTCACCCAGAAGCTCTCTGGGTGGGAACATGGGGACACAATTCTTCTCAGAATCAGTGGGGAAATCCCTGCAGCATCTCATTCACTCCTTTCTCTTGGGAAGAAAATGCCCTATAAATACTATTTTATTTCTGGTTACAGCGGAAAGCTGAACCATTTGGGCATTGCTATTGGCCGTGGTGTCCAGGCATAAAATGCAGAGCCTGAATTTGGAGCTCAGGAAGTTCCTTTGTTCCTAACACCAGGATGCTCAGCACAAGCCAAGGCAAGCCCAAAAGCATCACTGCACCATTAAGCACCAAGTCCTCACCCCATACCTTGACAAACATCTTGCTGCCAGCAGAGTTGTGACCGGGACCAGTGGGCGTGCAATACACCGACATGGACTTGCGATCGCGAGAGAACTCAAGGGTGCACTCCTTCCTCATCAGTTGTTTGATCACCTGTGAGACAGCGCTGCTGTTAATAATTCCAGGAGCAAAATGCACAAAAAGACAGCAGCTGGTCCTTGTCACCCTATTGCGTCCCCATATCAGCATCACAGCAGCTAAGCCAGCTCTTAGGAGGATGCGTCTTGTCCCAGAAAAGCCATCTGCAGGGCAGCCAAGGCCAATTTGAATTATTTTCCATTGTGGGGAGCAGGGATGCTGTCCACCTTGTTCACTGCATGCCCAAAGTATTTTGCAATTATTATTTTTTGTTGCTAGGAGGGTGTTGTATATGAAAAATCTAATGGCACGACACCAAATCCAAATGGGAGATGAAGAGCATTTTAACCAGGAGAGGGAGACACGGCAGAGCCAGAGCAGCAGAGCAGTCTGTGCTGGAAATTCATACACTAGAAATAGAGGCGTTTCCATAAGATAGCCTGCTTCAAGCAGGAACTGCAGTGCTGGGAGCTGGGTTTCACGCATGCTGCAGAGGATGGTTCAGGGCTCCCGTGGTCAGCACAGACCTGAAGATTTTCTAAGGCTCAACCCCTTATGAGCTAAGAAATTGCATCCTTGTGCCAGACCAGCACCTTTATCACCACCCCTAAGCCCTCCTCTCATCCCCTTCACTCACTGAATTGCAGGCGTTGGCTCGCTCCACCTTGGAGAGCTTGCTGGTGTCCGTGTCGAAGACGTTCATCTTTTCCACCAAGCACGTCAGGGCAGTTTCAGTGGCTTCCCCTACCTTCTCATAGACTTTTTTTGACTGGAAAGCAGGAAATAACAGAGTGTGTCAAGCGTTGGAGCACATCCCCTCAGTGCATCTCCAACCCAGGATGTCCCACACGGTGGGACTGGATGAAGCCATGGGTTAAACCCAATGGATACAGACCAGATGCCACATACCACATGCAGCACCACAACATCCCTACTAGAGATGGGCTGCATTCAAGGTACAGAAAGGTATAGAAATCCTTTTCTCAGAAGGGGCAAAACGGGCAAATATCCACTGATTTTGCCCCCAAGAAAGCCCAAAGGGAAGGGAAAAACCCATTGGGAGCCTGCAGCAATCTGTCCCCACGCACCTCATTGTAGTCCAGTGAGGAGTCGTTGCAGAGAGCACAGATAGTTGCCAGCTCCACCAGCCCATCGTACTGCCCGCACTGCACCGGCCGCTCGTCCTTCAGGCTGGGGAGGGAAACAACTGTTTGGAGCCTGGCTCTTCGCATGGCTACACGAGAAATAGAGCTTAGCTTTTCCCCGTGTAGCCCTTGGGAAATTTGCTCCAAAGAGGGGGAAAGAGCCTGGTGCAGGCTCATGGAGCGGTGATAAAAGCTTGGGGACATTTTGTGCTTTAAGAAATGGGGCAGGGCTGCATGCAGATGAAATAACACATGGTGCAAATGAACTCTTGAAGTGCCCCAGAATAAAAATGGCAGCAGAGAAATCATGACAACTGGAAATGGTGTTCTATAGACCTTCTGCTCCTCTTGGGTCATCAAAGCAGGGGCTGTGAACAGCTGGATATAGAATCAATAAGGTTGGAAATGGTCAGTAAGATCACCAAGTCTAACCATCAACCCATCCCCACCGTAACACTAAATCATGACCCTCAGTGCCACTCCACTCTTTTCTCAAAAACCTCCAATGGTGGTTATGAAGGTGATGAACAAGAAAAGGGGCAAAGGCACCCCCAGGGTCTCCACGTGCTCGATGTCCAGAGGAGCTGCAGGACCAGGTTCCTCTCCCCAGCCACCCGCTGCCCCGTGGTGGAAATGGCCAGGCACATTTGGGGATGAAACAAAACTGATCCAGACCCCAGGAGAGGTAACTGCAGGTTAGAGCTGTGCAAACTCAGCCGCTCACCCGCTTGCTGGAAAAATAATTTGTCAGGCATTTATTAGGATCAGTTTATTCCACTGCAGCTTCCCAATGGAAAGAACATTTTGGAGCCCTTGTTACAGCTCAGGAGCGGAAAGCAGGGAGCGGCCAAGAAAATCTGAAAAATCTGTTTGCACAGGGATGAAAGCACTTCAGGCTGTGTTTCGGTGTTTGAGAAGGCAGAAATACTGAGGATGGCTTTTGCAGTGTGTGATGCCCTGTACAGAGCTGGGAAGGGACAGCCATGCTGGGGAAGGCATAGGTAGAAACACTGCTGGCTGGGTGCTGCAAATGAACCTGAGAAAGGGAGACTGCACCCTCAAGAGGGAGCAGACAATCACAGTCCTCACTGAGCTGAAAGGCACCCACTAATGCCAGCTTATGTGCTATCTCACATTTTAATGGAGACTCTTAGTGAAAGATCAAATTGGCTTTATAAATATTCATGCAATTAACTCTGAAGCTGCCATGAAGTGCAGTCACTGCATGGATGAGCAAAGGGGACCGTGGCAAGGACAAGTCAGGGAACATCTCCCCGCAGTGACACATGGTGGGGAGAGAAAAAGAAGCTTTTGCTCCCCTCCATGTGCAATACTCAGTGCAGCCACAAACTGATACCCGAAGTCCCAGTTTCTCCACAGCTACAGGGGTGAAACTGGGTCTCCCTGTGCAGCCACCAGCTGCAGCCTGCAGCACAGGGACCATACTCACATCTGTCCCTCGGGGGCATAGGTGGAGCCGGTGATGCTGAACTCATGCAGGCTGCACTGGGTACCCTCCACCTTCTCCATGATGAACATCTGCAAGGGGACAGATGGACATGGAGAGTTAGGCAGCGATTTTCTGGCATGCACCACTCCCAGCTTCCACATTTGCCTCCTCCAGCTCCCTTTGTTCCATTGCAGAGGAGCGGTGCCTGGGCAGTTTCTAAGCAGTGCTGGTATTGTTCTTGGAGCAGGGCTGGGGTTCTGCTGCCCAGCCGGAGAGACAGTATCCGACCAGCCACAGGACCCCATGCCCCCCCTTCCCAGACAGTTCCCAGCCACCAGCTTGCATTGCATGTTCCCCAGGTTACAGCTTGGTTAATTAAACCCCAGAGAGTTGTAAAAGTCCCACATGCTCTAATTTGGAGCAATTTTTGCCTTTCAAACACCTTCCAGGCCCATTCTTGCCATTACAGTGAGAGCAATGAGACCAAAAGGAATTAACATGCAATAAAAATCCTCCTCTTTCCACCTCCCCTTGGCTCCTCTTGGCACAGCCCCTTAGCCCAACAGCATCACTGTCAGCTCCTGACCTGGCCAGGACAAGGGCACAGCAATGCTCCTGCCTGCCTAATTGTTATTTACGACCCACACTGGAGCCAAAAAGCAATATAATTAACAAATAACATTGGTTGGATGGAATGCACGCTCCCAGCCAGGAGGCAGCAATGCCTTCCTCGCTCCATAGTTCTGCTTGGTGGTTTGGGAAAGTGATGCAGAGACAATTACCCTTCATTTCCAGAAGATTTAATTAATTAAAACTTTCCCATGACCCATCATTAAGGCACAGCTGCATTTAGGATGTTATTTGCTGTGACATTTGCCCCAGTACTGAGCAACAGCCCGCTCTCCTGAGGACAGCATCTGCATTATTACACTCATCTCTGTTCCCTGAGCCCTTCTCTGCGCATCCCTGAGGGGATTTGAAGAAAAGTGCATGGCAAAAAGTGACAGAAGAGACATGGATCCTCCAGTCGCTCACTAACACACAATAGAGCTCGATGAAGAGCCCAAAGATCACATCTCCTTGGGGCAACTGAGTCAGACACTTGAAACAGAGGAAAACACGGCTGAAATTTCCTAAATGGGAGGCTTCAGCAATGCAGCACCTGGTCTGAGACAGCATCAAAAGGGATTCCTGAAGGGGGAGCATCCATTGTGTCTTTTCAAGAAGTCCAATGCCATTGGTCTGCCACTGAGCCAACACCTCCTGACCCCTTCAGAAAGCAGCCTTCCATGCTCAGAAATGCAGGCTGGCCTCACATTTATTAAAAATCCTGAAAACATCCACCCCCACCACTGGTGTTTTTGCATGATACGAGCTCTTTTGTTTTCAAACACAACTACAAAACAATCAGCACTTCCACAATAGCAACTTTCTTACTAGAAAAGGAAAGAAAAAAAATAAATAAATCATTCCATGTCCTCTATTTTTCCATGCCTATTTAAAATAGGTGGAACCCACAGCAAACAGAGGTTACGTCAGATTTCCTGCCTGCTCCTAACTTGCACGACCAGACATCACAAGGGTATTTGCAGGCTTTTGGGGTGATGTTTCTGGCAGAAAAGGGGCATGGTGCAAGCAATAGGTGTCCATTTATATGTATTTTCTGTGATCTCTTTTAAAAAAAAAGCACACATCAAAAGGCAAGCAAGGCAGGAGAGCTGTTTGGAGTAGCAGAAGGTTGTAATCAGTGTCATTCACCCATCAGCCAGCCCACGCAGCAGCAGTCATTTTCCTCCAATGCCAGAGGTGGCCCCAAGTGACAGCACCCACCAAAAGCCAGCATGGCACAGCCAGCAATGCTGGGAAACCCTGAGCATGCCAGGCATCAAGAGATAACTGACTGGGGTTGTTCTACAGAGGCAGAACAGCTGAATCATGGCACAGCAGGAGGTCCAAACTCATGCAGCATCTCTGCTCAATAATTGAGTTACAGTGCATAAGAGGGTGCTGTAAGTTCTTTGTGATGAGTAGAATGGAGTAGAACAAGAGTAGAGTAGAACAAGAGTAGAGTAGAACAAGAGTAGAGTAGAACAAGAGTAGAGTAGAACAAGGGTAGAGTAGAACAAGGGTAGAGTAGAACAAGGGTAGAGTAGAACAAGGGTAGAGTAGAACAAGAGTAGAGTAGAACAAGGGTAGAGTAGAACAAGAGTAAAATACAGAACGAGTTGTTCTGAGACTCTACAAGAGACTCTACAAAGGTCATTGAGTCCAACTGTTAGACAACTTTGGGGCAAACCCAAAGTTAAAACAAAGTTAAGAGCACCATCCCAATGCATAGGGCATCAGCCACCTCTCTAGGAAGACATTTCCAGCATCCACCCTCTTGGTAAAGAAGTTTTTCTTAATTTCTAGCCCAAACCTCCCTGGTAGCAATAGTGTGAAGCTGTTCATGTCACAGCTGAGCAGATCGTCTAGAAGGAAGCTGAGAGGGGATGGCATCAAAAGCCTCACTAAAAGCTGGAAAAACCACATTGCTTCAGCCACTAAGTGGGAGATCTGATCTTCGAAGGATATCAAATGATTTAGATGTCAGACAGCCCGAGCCACCCATAAGGTGAGCAGTGCAAACCACAGCTTTCATCTGATATACTGAGTGGGTTTGTGGCTTGAATGCTTCACCACAGTGCCGTCATCTCCAGCAGACCCAGGGTGTCTGGCACACAAAGACTCGGCCAGCTCAGGCTCTGAGCACATAGAAACACTTGGGATCTACACACCTGTGTCCTGCTGTGCACCCTGGCCACAGGAATGGGTTAAACGTTAACGACTGTTTCTGTGCTCAGATGCTGGGCTTGTCCATCATTATTTATTTTTAATATATACTATTTATTCATACATCATTTGCTTAGTGCCAATGGGAACCTCTCCCTCATGTGAAACACGGACAGCTCTGTCAGCCCCTTGATCCAGCAGGGCCTCCTTGTAAATCATTTACGGGGCAGAAACATCAGACATTTCCAGTCATTTGTGGCTTGTGCTGAGCAAACCAAAGCTTGTGGCCGGTTGCTGCTTCGCTACCCAATTTTCAGTGAGCAGGGAGGGTGGCCAGGGCCATTTTTCCCTTTGGTGACATATTTTCCATGGTTCTCCTATAAAACTGACGCGCCAAGATCATGAAAAAAGCTTTCCTGAGGAATAATGGGGAAACTGAGAAGCACTGGGATGGCCCAGTCTTTCCTAACAAACCACCATGAACAGCTGGACCCAAACCTTACACTGACCCTCCAACTTTGGCCTCACAGATCCCAGTTTTCTAATTTTGTGTGATTTGGAATTTCTCACCAGTTTGGTTAAAACAAAAGGAAAATGGGCAAGGGAGCAGAAAAGGTGTTGACCACATTGGCTTCTCCAGAAGCTGTTTAATACTGAACCCAGCCAGGAGAGATGCTCCACGGAGAGGGAGCCCTGAAACAAGTCCACAGATCTGCACCTCAATGCTAGAGCATTCAGAAAAGCTAATGAAAAGGTGAGATTTCTATTTATGATTGCACCAAGATAAGTCATAAACATCCTCACACCCTGTTGGGCTAGAAGGAAGCTCAGGCCTTCCTACATCGTTAAACAAAATGTCTTACATGCTTACCTTGAAATTCCTAATGAGCAAAATGCAATGTTTGCATGAGGACAAAACAAGATTGAATATTGCAACAGATTGGTGGAGACATCAAGCTCCATCACACCATAACAGAACTCCAGCATCCCACTACAGACATTCTTAACTCAGAAGGCAGTGAGGCACTGGAACAGGCTGCCAAGAGAAACTGTGGGTGCCCCATCCTTGGAGGCATTCGAGGTCAAGCTGGATGGGCCCTGGGCAGCCTGATTTGGTGGTTGACAACCAGCCCACAGGGCCTGTAAGGTACCCTCCAACCTAAGCCATTCTGTAATTCCATGATACAGCCCCCCAAAATGCCCTGTGCTCACCCGGCAGACAGACATCTGGTTGGTGGTGAGGGTGCCGGTCTTGTCGGAGCAGATGACAGAGGTGCACCCCAGCGTCTCCACCGAGGGCAGGCTTCTCACGATGGCATTCTTCTTGGCCATGCGGCGAGTGCCCAATGCCAGGCACGTGGTGATGACAGCTGGGAGGCCCTCAGGAATGGCAGCCACTGCCAGGGCCACTGATGTCTTGAAATAGTAGATGGCACCTCGAAACCAGGAGCCACCATGGACAGGGTCACTGAAGTGGCTGATGTTGATGACCCAGACGGCGATGCACACCAGGAAGATCACTTTGGAGAGCTGCTGGCTGAACTCATCCAGCTTCTGCTGTAAGGGGGTTTTCTCAGGCTCTGTCTCCACCATCTGGTTTCGGATCTTCCCGATCTCTGTGTACACCCCTGTTGCAATGACGATTCCCACGGCCTTCCCAGCTGCGATGTTGGTGCCCTGGGAGGGATGGAAGGGGGCAGTGAGTATATGGGCATGAAAACCTCCCAGTCTGAGCAAGGAAATGGGCTGCTTCTTGTGAAAGGGGAATATTAGATCTTAGGATCATCTTAAGAAGAAAATGAGGCATCGGGCCTCCTGGGTTCTTCATCTGCTAAAATCTGGGTGAGACTCATACTAAACTCATGCACGGTCCCTGACTTGGTTAGAGAAGAGTGAACTTCATCCCCAGAACCAAATTCCTTCAGCCATAAGGAGCCCTCTCAGCCCAGCTGAGATGACTTATGTTGAATGAGAGCACTTCCAGTGCTCTGATTCTTCAGGAACCCCGATGAACTCAGGCAACCTGCCCCTCTTCTTCTCTATGATAGGAGGACAGCTTTGACTTCACGCAGTTCAGGGCCATTTTGGACTTGACATAAACCCACCACAAAGCAGCAGGTTGAACACTTGAAAGTGTTCTCATTCCTCTCAGGTTTGACTTCTGTCCAAGGGGCATGAGCAAAGAGGAAACTCAAACCCACAGCAGCCCCAGGTTCAATCACAAGCCTTTTCCTCACCAGCAACTCACCCTATGAGATACAAAACCAACTGAGATTGCACAGGATCTAAGAGCAACACATGCCAAATGAAATTTCATGGAAGCAGCCCTCCGTTTTTATGGATCTGGGACCCTTTTTACATAACTAGGATCAGCATGCAGCTGATACTGGTCCCTGCCCATAGACCTCCCATGCTCATCGGTCTCTTTGCCTGGTGTCTGCAAAACCACAAGAAAGGTGGGGACTTACAGAGAAAAGCATGTTCTTCTTGTCCTGGTTGACAGCACGGGGGTCAGGGATGGGGTCAGCATGTTTGATCACCGACATGGACTCCCCTGCCAAGACAAGAGCAGGGAGATTGTAGAATATCACAGAATATCCCAAGTTGGAAGGGAACCACAAGGATCATCGAGTCCAACCTCTGGCTCCACACAGGACCACACAAAACCCAAACTTGATGCCTGAGCGTGTTGCCCAAACACTACTTGAACTCCAGCAGCTCGACCAACAGTGGTCACCATGTGGTGGCTACATGGTGGGACTGGGAAACCTTTGTGAGACCATAAACATTGCATGGGAATGCCCCACACTTAGCATTTAGCAGAGCTTTGAATGATATACTGAAAATGATGAGTCCTAAAATCTCATTCCTCCACCCATTTCTCACCCCAGCAAAATGCTCAGCCCAGCCCCAGCCCCAGATTTCACTCCTGGCAGTGGACAGAGGCCATATCTACCTTCAGCATTTGCCCCACCTGCACACACCTGTGAGGATGGACTGGTCAACCCGCAGCGTGGTGGAGCGGATTTCGATGATGCGGATGTCTGCTGGTACCTTGTCACCAACTGCAAGGAAAAGAGCAGAGCAGCTCAACCAGGGGCTGGCGAAGGGGCATGGTGAAGCCCCAAGACGCTCAACAAGATCATTCCAGGAGCTTTCACAGCCAGAACAAACAGTCGTTCCTGGGTTACCCAGTCTAGCAATCATGGGTGGAAGCATCCTGGCCAACTGACAGCCACTGTTTGCTGCCCACCAGGGCACATGTTCAAAAAAAAAAAAAAAAAAAAACAAAACACAAAAAGAAAAAAACCCACAACAAAACCTGTTGAAAACTGTTTTCCGGCTGGATTTCTTCCTCGCAGATTCTTGGCACGTCATGGCTCTTCCTCATGTTCCCTTATCGCCCGAACACAACGGCTTTTCGGAAATATTGAGATCAGCACAGCCTTCACTCGTAACAATTCACATCACATTGCGCAATGCTCCGGCTTGGCTGCGACCAAACGTCTCCAATCCCAGATTTTAAGGAGCGCTTCCTCCCGAGGCTCGTAAAATCCTCCCGAGCTCGGGGCCGGGCTGCCCTGGCACTGCTCCACTGCACAGCTGTGTAATCCAGCTGTTGCTTTTGGATGATAAATGCAGGGACCTGCGGACACCCCCAAACTTCCTCCTGCGAAGGCTTTGCAGCCACCCGAGGGAGCTGGATCTGCTCTAAAGGAGTAAATGGCTCTTTCCCCCCCATGGGAAAGGCAGAGAGAGTTTGCAAAACATCAGTGGAGCCTGCAGGCTCACAATCTGCTGACAGCATCTACGGAGACCCGGAGCCCTGGTGTTATGGGGGTAGCATCTGCTCAAGGGTAGATAGCATGATAACCTTACATGGCAGGACAGATATCCCACACCAACCCGTTCGATGGGTTATGGGACGTGCAGTGCTGCAAATCCTGCACAGAAGGAAGTTTGGGGGTGTCTGCAGCTGAACAGGTGACGTTTTACCCCTTCCCCTGAAAGCACATTGCTGTCTGCAATGGAATAGCAGAGTTGCTGATCCGTGCTGCCAAATACGTTGCATTTGCACACACAAAGAGAAGTTGCTCCTTCCTGCCTGCACTCGCTCTGCCATCTCTGGGACATCACCTGGGTGTAGATGTACACTGCTTGTTTCAAGCCACTGCTCCTGCTGTACTCCCCACTTGTCCTCTCATGAGCCAAGGGGCAATATTCCTCCTGCCAATGTCTCCATTACACTTTCTGACTTCCTCACAGCCTGACAGGTTCCTTGCTCCTTGTTCTAACCTACCCAAACCCAACATTTTCTAATTCATTTGCTACTAATCTGCAATCTCCTCCAGAAAACAGCTCATCTCTTTCCCTCCCAGTTACGATACTGGCTGTGCCATTAAAAAGTAATATTTAGTGGGTGATGGTAAGCAATAAGCACTTGATTTGGGGCAAGTTGGCAAGTGGTGCTGGACCCCGTGGTGTTTTGGCATTGCAATAGCATTTCCCTCATGGGATGGTGAACAGGAAGGAATTGTGCCTGGGAGGGCTTATGAGAGCCATCTGCAGCCAGCCCCTGCACGTCACAGGTCTGTCTCCTGTCCCTAAAAGCTATTGCAGATCCCAGGACCAGGACAGACCTGGGGCCGGTGCAGGAGATCCTCCATCTCAGCCTCCATGCACTATTTTAATGTGCATCTTCCAGCTGAAGTACAACTGGAAGACATAAATAACAGCACGCTGGCTCAGAGTGGGAGGGATTGCAGCTTGTTTCCACTAGCAGGGCCATGAGGAGGAAAGGAGAGGATTAGCATAGGGGCTCTGGGGGTTTACAGCATAGTTTAACACACAAACAACATAGGATAAGCAGAATGCATTGCTTCCCTATAATGGTGAGGCAGGTAGGAAATGCTGAGGCATCCGAAACGCAGAGAGACCCAAAGAGAAGAGTCAGAGGGGGCCTGCGATGTCAAAATCCAGAAAATGAGCTCAGTGAGAAACGTGGAAGGAAGCCTCTTCTTCTGGAAACCCCATTTCCTGAAGACACACTCTCACCCTACCACAACCAAGAGCCACGAGGCTGCCATCCTCATGCCAACATCTCCTTGGCTCCTTCCCATCCCATGCCCTACCTGCCACCTCCACGATGTCCCCAGGGACGATGTCGCGGGCACGAATCCGCTGCACCCCGCTGCGGTCGGCACGGATCACCTTCCCCATCTCGGGCTCATACTCCTTCAGGGCCTCGATGGCACTCTCAGCATTCCTCTCCTACAGGTGGAAGAGCAGAGCTGAGGCAGTGGGGCTGTCCAAGTGGTAGATGCTCTATACAGCAGTCACGGGTGCACCCAAATCCCATCCCTAGCTTTAGCACCCATCTGCTGGGGCCAGTTCTGCCTCTTCCCCAGCCGCTCCTGTTTGCTCTGAGATGATCTCTGCTGCAATAAGTCACAACAGGGTCTGGAAAACTTTTTGGATCTTTGGACCACGGCCAGAAGGTAAGCAGTGTACACTGGGGATGGCAAACAAGTGCTGGGACTCATAACTACAACAGCTGTCAAAGTGAGATCGAAGAAATGAACCTGGAGGCCACCAAGAGATAACGGCTTTGAGTCGTGCCAGGGGAGGTTCAGGTTGGATATTAGGAATAATTCCTTCTCAGAATGAGTGGTGATGCATTGGAACAGGCTGCCCAGGGAGGTGGTGCAGTCACCCTCCCTGGAGGTGTGGCACTAAGGGACATGGTTAGTGTGCATCGTGGGGGGGTTGGTGGTCGGATCGGATGATCTTAGAGGTCTTTTTCAACCTTAATGATTCTATGATTTTATCTGCACAGAGCAGTACAGCCAGCACTGAGCTGAACCCTTTAGAAATGAGCTTCCAAAGGCCAGAAGCCACCAGACCTTCAACCGAAGTTCCAACCACACTGAGCAGAGACCTGCAGGGACTGTCCCTTACCTGCCACACGCCCACCACGGCGTTGGCAATCAGGATCATGATGATGACAATGGGCTCCACGAAGGCTGTCGTGCTCTCCTCTCCTTCTTCAAACCAGGCCAGGATCTGGGGGCATGAGAAGGGAACAGCACAATTGAAAGAACAAGCTCCAAAGTTCCAAGACTCTAAAGAGAAGACAGCCAATACAGCACAGACTGACCCTGCAGCTCCTTCCAACTTTGAGCCCCACTCTCCATCCCATTAAGACCCAACACCATAAGGCAAACAAAGCTCGCACAAAAACATTTTCACTCCATTTAACTAGCTGTGGACTTCTGTTGTGTCAATACAACACCTGGCTGCTCTGCTACAGTGAGCACCAGCACACAGAACCTTTGACACAGGGGTTTGTGTTGCTCTCACCTTGAGCAGATAACAACATCTCACCAGCCAACACATCACTGCGTGTTATTCTGGGAATGCATTTTATCTTGCAGGGGTCCAACCTCCATCCTTATCCTAGCTGTTCACTTATCCTGTGGTTGTTCAGCCACCCAACGCTCTCAGACTGTTAGGATTTATGATGCCAGCACTAAAACCTTTATCCATAATGTTGTGTCTATATGAGATGGGATCCTGAAATAAATGCTGCACAACTTGGTGCAGCAGGAGATGGCTCATGCAGCCAACACCAGGGCTGCCCAAACTGCAGGCTCAGGTACAGCCTGTGGGATGATCAGCCCATGGGAAATGGTGGTGATCCTGAGCCAGTTGGGATGTGCCACCCCAAAATCACCATTATGAACCTTGGGATTTTGGAAGCCTCCCTATGTCCCTAGTGCCTCATTAGTCCCGCTGTTTCACTGCCAGGGTTCTCTGTTTAATAACTGAAAAATCGTCTTATATTCAGCTAAAAAAAGCTCTTGTTTTTCTGGTTCTCCTCCACACGCATGCTAAGGAGAGGGTGAGCATTCCTGCCCTTCCTCCAGCAGAGACAGTAACACGGTCTGCTTTTCCTGGGAAATTCAGAGGAAATGCCTATTTTTGAACTAAATAGAAAGAAAGAAAGAAAAATTACTAAAATGAAATTGGTCAGCTGGTTACTAAGGCAGCCGAAAGGAGAAGACATGAGACACGAATTCACCACCCTGCTGCCAAATGCCCTGAAGAGCAGCACTCAAAAAAATAAGTATTTCTCCAGCTTGGTGGGAAATATATCCTAACAGAGCAACTCCCAAGGTAAGCTGTGGGCAAAGCCAAGCTAAAAGCCATCTTTGGAGAGAGGTTTCCAGGCACTGATTTCACTGCAAAGGAAATAGTGCAACCTCATCCCCAAAAACTCCAGTGGGAACCACTCCCCATTTCAGCTCAGTAAGCATGGGGTGCAACGCTCAGGCACTGCAAATAAGGACCACATCAGCAAATAAGGACCAGACCAGCACCTGGCCAGCAAGGTGCTGCTGTTGCTGAGCATTTCCAAGGCACCAAGGCTGAAGCGAGCTCATGCTGCAGTTATTCAGTGACTTGGCTAAACACACAAACGCTGAGTTCATCTGATCCCATGTTGCCTCCCTGCATTACTGAGCATGGAAAGGATCACCAGTGCCACGGGCTCATGGAGCCTGGTGATGTGAATCCTGGCTCCTGCTTGGAGCATCTCCCTCATGTTGAAGACAAGCTGCAGAAAAGGAAATGCTCGGAGATGGCAATAGCACCAGATAGACCCTACCAGGAGCTCCTTCCAGTGCCATTCCCCACACATCAACTGTGGTTAAAAGCAAAGCCAGAGCCATGCATTGTGCCTGCCATACGCAGAACCTTTGCCCAAGGCACTGGGATGCCCAATGCCTGCTGTCTGTGCCAGCAGGATGGGAAGGATGTGAGCAGCAGGCGAGAGGCAGCGCCCACGCAAGCAGCCGAAACACTGCCAGGCCAGAGGAAGAACAAAAGAAAAAATACATGGAACAACAGATTGGATTTTCATTTCTAATCCAAAATGCAAATGCCTGCATGCAGCAGTGGAAGGGCTTCAGGAGGAGATGTTAGATACTCCAAGCAGGAAAGCCACCCTTGGGGTGCCATCAGTACTTTCCAAAACTTCCAAGGAAAAGATACAAAGGGAAGCAATTTCCCCTAAATGTTTCAACCCTCATGCATGGAGAGGCCAAGGACACATACTGGGCAAAAAATAGTATTGAAAATAAATTAGTGAGAATTAGTGTCCCCTAATTTAGTAGAGCTATAGGTGATGTAGAAAATCACAAGCTGGATGCATGGGGGAGGACAGACTATCGCCCAAATAGAATCACAGAATCATGAAGGTTGGAAAAGACCACCAAGGTCATCTGGTTCATCCATCAACACATCACCGCCGTGCCCACTAACCGTGTCACATGAACTGAAAAGAACCACCCAGCTGTGTCTTCTGCAACAGCTTGACATGAATTTTTCAGCATGAATGACTTGAATGAAAGGAATCAAGGCTGCCAAGCTATCACTGAACTGCGGCAGAAGAATCTGGCAGTGGCAAAGCTTCAAGCCATGCAGATGACTGTAGGGTTTCTAATTTAATTCATGCTGTTGGCATTCACTTTGAACAGCAACGCTGGGGATCAGCTGATAGAACCAGTGCCCTTGGGCCTCCATCTCCGGTGTAGTCAGAGGGTGGTGGGATATGGCTTTGGGATGGATGGATGGATCAGCACTGCTGAGAAATCCTACAGTCTCACCTCCAAGATATGTGCAGTGTTGTCACTAAGCCCTGTGCAATCACTGCACTGCTGGTACATCTTCATCCAACCCACGTTCCTCCGTCCCCTTTGCTATTACTCCCCCCACAACAAAACAACCAAGGTCCATTTCACCAGCGCTGATGGAAATCTGATGCTCCCCTCACACCCCACATCTCTCAAGCACAGGGATACAGGTCCACATCCCCTCCTCCCCTGAGCCCCAATGGGGCTGCGCCAGCCCTGAGCCCGCAGTACTTACAAAGGAGAGGAATGCTGCCATCAGAAGGATGCGGACCAGGAGATCTTCAAACTGCTCCAGCACCAGCTCCCAGAGGGGCTTTCCTGGTGGGAAAACACAAACCCAAGCACTGTCAGTGCTCCAAGGGCTACAGTGAGGAGGTAACTGTGGCCACCAGCACTGATGGGACCGTCCCCCACTGCAGCAGGGCTGCTCCTGTCCAAATCTCTGTATTTCTGCTCCCACCTGGTACCCCTTCTGTCAAAGGAGGGCTCTGCTGCCAGCCCCACTGGCTCTGGGATTAAAACCAGGACTAAAATAAAGGATCCCAAACATTCCCCTTCCTAGATCCCAGCCTCTCCCATCCTGTCTTGCCACACGACTCACCTTCTTCTGCAGGGAGCTCTGTGGGATTCCACCCGCAGCCCAACAAGCAGAAAAGAAAGGAAGACATGGGGAGAAAAAAGAATAAGATTAATCAGTGATTTGGGAGCAGAGCAGAAATCCCTCGCCTTACACCCCAGCAGCCCATCGAGTATCCCAAAACTCCACCAAGTACCCCAAAGCACAGCTTCTTTTGCACACATCCCTGCATGAAGAAAGCTGGTGATCGAACTCCCAAGTTTGACATCACACCAACAGCAGTGGGTGCTCCCCTGCCAGGGAAATGTCACTTCTCTGCTGCAAACGGGGACCATGAGTGTTTATTCCTGCACTCAGCTTGCCTAAAAACCTACAAAGGGCTCAGTGCCTGCAGGAGATGCTGTCTCCAAATCTGGGACAGGAAGGTCCAACCACCCCATAAGATGCACTGCCAGAGACTCACCACAGCCCCACCAGAGCCCATTTTATGTTTCCTATCACTCAGCTGTGTTTTACAGCCTCCAGCTCCCTAAGAAGGAAACTCAAAGTGAATCTTGGGCTGGTCCAAGCTGGTCCATCAGGTGGATTCACAGCACCTGCACCACTCCCACCCAACCCCAGCCCCAAAGCAGTGCTTATAATACCCCAATAGCTACGTGCTGTCAGTAGGGATCAATCCTATCTCATATCAATAGGGACATCAACAGAGAGGCAGTGGATCAGGCTCCCTAGAGCTGTGGGTGCCCCATCTCTGGAGCTGTTCAAGGCTGGGTTGGGCAGCCTGAGCTGGTGGGGGGCACCCAGCCCATGGTAGGGGGTTGGAACTGGATGATCTGTAAGGTCCCTTTCAATCTAAACCATACTATGATCAGTAGGGTCATCAGTGAGGCTCATCAATGAGGGGACAACCTGCCTGACCAGGAAGCAAAACAGCTCGGCTGCTTTCCATGGTCTATTTTCATGCAGAAAAATGAGAAGAAAAAAAACAACAACAACACAACACACAAACAAACACAGCAAAAAAACAAACAAACAAACAAACTCAACAACCTTTGCTGAGCAAAACAGCGAAAGCAAGAAGCCTGTGTGCATTTTCACTGCAAACTGCTGGCAGAAATGCTTGCTATGGGGTTTTACCAACTCAAGTCCCTCCCAAATAACGATGCTCTGAAGCATGCTGCCATGAGGAGCCCGCACTGTGTGACATGCCTGTTGTTATTTTCACAGCAAAAAGAAAAATCTCCTGCTGGAGTGACTTCAGCAGCTCAACCACTCTGCAACATATCAAGAGGAAGCTGCTCTTCTCCCTTCTGCATCCAGCTTCCTCCCTGCCCCCAGCTTCCTCCCCCAGCCCTGCCACCCAAACAAGGGCATGGAGAGCCCTGCTGCCTTTTTCCCATCCCTGCTATGCTGTAAGGGTGCAGGGTGAGAGACCTGGGGGCCAGGCAGCTCCCATCCCATCCCAGCTGCCCAGATTGCTGCCTGCACTCCTCCCATGCATCGTTTGCATGAAGCAGCCCCAAAGCTGTTTGCAGAGTGGGGACTTTGCATAGGCTCTGCAGATGCCAACATGAAAATGGGCAACGTGAGGCCAGGAGGAAGCCAACAGCCCACTGACTGCATCACCATCACCGTCACCCAGAAAAAGCTGATTTGAGCACGCCGAGAGCTGAGCACACCTCTGAAAGAGACACTTTTTCCCACCTCCCTCCATGTGACAGCCGGGCACAGCCACATAGGTGCCACCCAACCTGGGGGACATCCTGCCCTGCGTTCCAGGTCAAAGCACAGCACTCAGATATGGCAGGGTGCTGCTGGAGTTGCATTATAGAACTCTTCAAGGGGCACGCTCGGATCCCCAGCCACAAGCACCTTGTGTGCTAAATGCTAAAACACCACCTCCCCAACATTTCAGGATAAGATCTGATTTTCCTCATGGGAAACACAACTGCTGCCAAGCAGGGAGGGATGGGGAGCATCCCATTGGCAACCATGCAGCCCCACACAGGCAATGGGGTCACCAATCTGGCTCCAACAAACGTCCTTTCAGCTGTATTTCTATGTTGTAAACTCTTTTTTTGTGGGTTTTTTTTTTTTTCCTTTTATTTATTTTTCCTTATGCAGGGAAGGGGAAATGGATGGGTAAAACAAGCAACGCATCTGATTCCCGAACCTCGCCAACAGGCAGGAAAAAGTGGTGAAAAGAATAAGAAAAACCCTAAAATAGCCCCAGCTGGGACAGCAGCCCTGTTTGTGACACAAAGCAGAGCTACTCTGGGATCCTTCAGGTGCAGAACACGTTGTTATTGGAAGCAGCCACACTTCCGAGCCCCCATCCCTGGGTCCCCATCTCCACGGTGCACCTAATTGAACCTCTATGGGAGAATGCTGTTGTGTCACGTCTTGTGACAGAGTGACCTCAGGGTAGATTTGGGCACTGCTGAGCTGAGTTGGTGGATTTACCCCCCAAAAAGTCCCATACATCAAAAAAAATCATGCAGCCGTGCGTGCAAATCATGGGCAGGTTGGGGCTGCCCCAGTGACCAGCCAAAGGTTGGTGCATAGAGAGGGGGCAGAAAATCCCCTCTTTGGGGTTGCAAACCCCAACCACCTACCCATGTAATTCAAACAAAACAACATAATTTTGGGGTGCAAGCAAAGTTCAGTCAACGAGCTCATCCTCACTTTGCCTGAGCTCTGCTTGCACTCCTACCTGCCCAGGATGCTGTCCCTGTCCCCCTTTCCTGGCCCCATGAGCCAAGCCCAGGGCATGCTCACCCTATCTGTTCTATAATCAGGGATCCTAACACTCACCCCAAAGCTCACCATGCAGCATCGATCCCACAGCCCAGGGGTAAGGAATAAGGACAATCCTGCCCATCCCATCCCCAAATCCCCTTCCTTTGCTCATGAGAATGGCTCACCCCCCAAACGCTGCTCGGCACGAGCATCCTTCAAAGGTCAGCTGCCCTATAACACAGGGGACCCTGTGCCTTGGGTCTGGGGTAAAATGGGGCTCCTTGGCCTGGAGTGGCCCCGTCCCCTGTGCCTTCCCTGGTGGCCCCATAGGGTCCCTGGGCAGTGGGAGGGGGAGCACACGGCTCTGGCTGGGAGGGAGGATGCGAGCGACTGAAAGGAGCGTTTTGTTCCCTCCTGCACCAACGCAGTGGAAAGAATTTCCCTCTCCGTCTCCTGGGTGGAAAAGCTAAAAATCTGCATTTAAATAGTAACGGCTTCAGGGGAATTAAAAATAATAATAAACCAGGCATAGGAGCTTGGATAAAATAAAGCTTAAGGTGAGGACTGTTCTCCATGATTGCCCCCGATCCCCCAGGTTCCCCCCCACATCTTCAGTCCCCTCCTGCAAACTCAAAGCAAGGCTACCCTCTTCCTCACATTACACATTTCATTTCAGTGCCCTAAAAAACCATTTCTTTTTTTTTTTTTTTTTTTCAGATCATTTCCCACTGATGCTCCAGTGGTTGCTCCTAACTGGCTTCTTTTGGCACAGAACGGTATTTTCATCCTTTTGGTCTCTGCCCTTGGCACCCACCCCCAAAGCAATGCTCTGGAGCTGCCCCTGAGCCAAAAATCTCAGCAAATGTGCAGAAAACCAAAGCACCATCCAACCCACGGCAAGAGAAACTCTGACTTTGCAACACCTCTGGGCACACTGCACTGCGCACAAGCCAGAGCGTCCAACAGCCAGCAGCATCAAATTTAATAACATTTAGGATTAAATAACGTCAGGATAACAGCTTAGGAAAGCAAACACACCACACTGCAGTGCTGAGCCTTCACCGTGGCCCACAGTGCTGGCTCAGCCCATGCAGAGCCATGCAAGGCTTTCAGTATCCTAGGAGAGGGCATTTAGTGTTGAAAATTGCATTTAGCGCTGAAAATTGCACTGAACCTTTAGGACAAAGGCTGTGAGATTCAGGGAAGAGCAAGTTCAAAGGGTTTTCTCTTCCCTAAAACGTAGAAGAAATGGGTTATTGGGCTGAAAAGTAAGAGAGTGAGATGGGCTGAGAATGAGATGGGCTGAGACCATGGTCCTGAAACCAGGGTGTGTTTTCAGCATAAGATGCGCTTGCTCCTGGGGAAGAGATGATGCTCTGCGTGCACAAACCACAGAAAAGCTGAGTTGGAAGGGACCTTACAGAGCACCCAACCCCTGCCATGGGCTCAGGCTGCTCATGGCCCCATCCACGACCTGGGGCACCTCCAGAGATGGGGCAGCCCTGCAGCAAGGTGAACAGCTGGAAGCATTGGTCGCATTTCCTTTTTCTGTGATTTGCTTCCCACTAAGTCTTATGTGTGCATGCAAGGGATGAAAATTTATATCTAAAAACATATATATATATATATAAACATATATATATATATTTCCATATGTGTATGATATATTCAGGTAGGGTATGTATAGAACACTTTGGTTGGTAGGGATCTACACAAACCCACAAGGAGATCTATAAAGTCACTGCTAAATACATCCAGACGTCCACACACACACAGATGTGTTAAGAGGAGGTGAGAAAGGGAGCAGCACAGAACAACAGTGTGTGCACCATGCACTGCTACAGGGGACTGCCCTCCCCCAACCCCCCCCTCGCAGTGGAGCAGCTTGGTTTGGCTTTTTCCATCGCTCACCACATTTTCCTTATTTTAGAGCTTTCTGTTGACTCGGAGGTTGCAAAATGGAAAATGTTTAAAAAAAAAAAAAAGGAAAGGAAAGGAAATGAAAGGAAAGGAGGGAGTGCAGGCAGGTAGTGGCAGCAGGGGGCTCAGCTTTGGCAGTGATTCTGGGGTGAAATCCCGGGGATTTGGCTGTTGAGGGGAGCGCTGCGTTCCTCCCGCAGCGAAGGGAGATGTTAGAAAGGAAAAGGAAAAAAAGAGGGGGGGGGAAATGACAGCAACAATAATAATAAAAGAATAATAGTAAAATAAAAAAATAGAAAACAATAACCCTTACGTTTGGGTGTATTGGGTGTAGCCCTGCCTGCCGGTCCCCATTCACCCCCACCCTTCCCCCCCAGCGCTGTTTGAACACAGGAAGCACCCGAGGCACAAACACATGGGGAGGAACCCCGGGGACGCTCGAGCGCAGAACGGATTTCCTCCCTGAAACGCAGCACCGAGCAGCAACGTCCCTTAATTCGGTTCCCTCCCCCCAGCCACAATGGATCTCGGGGCCAACAGGTGTCCTAGAGCGACTTGCAAATAGGAGGAAAAAAAATAATCAAATGGGTTCATCTGCATCAGCGCATCCAGCGACGCGGGCGGATGGTGGGGATTCAAACGTTAGGAGGGTTTGGACGAGCAGTGCTTGCAGGCTCGGCTTTCCAAGAGGCACGGAGCTCTGCGTTTTGCTACGAAGATGGGCTGCAGGGATGTCCCCGGGGATGCGCGGTGCAACGGGAGCGCTGCAGCAGGTGGGGCTGAGCAGATGAGCCAACGGAATTTAAAAAGGAATAAAACAGAACGCCTTAAATAGGTGAGGGAAAAAAAAAAAAAAAGAAAAAAAAAAAAAGCTTTTCTCCAAAGACGGTAAGCACCCAAACCTCAACAACGGGAGCTCCCGGCTACGCACGGAGCGTGGATTCACTCAATATTTCAACAGCTTCTTATTAAAATAAATAAAAAAATAAAAACTCAGCAACCAAACCCATGCAGCACACGGCTCCCAGCCCCCGGCCGAACCCCCAGCAGCAGCAGCAGCCCTGAGCCCCCCCTGCACCGCACACACCCACGCCGGCGGCCGCTCGCGTCATGGAAACACTGCGCGACCGCAACCCTCTTTGCTGCCTTTGGCTCCGGCTGAGCAGCGCTCCCAGCTCCTCCCGTTGCTGCTACCTGTTGTAAAGCGCGAGAGCAGCGTTGGGTTCCAGCATCGGGTCGTTGCGTTTCTTAATTATTGCTTGCTTTTTGTTGTTTTTTTGTTTTAAAGTCTGTATGGTTAAACATTGGAATAGGGCTCCCCGGGGAGGTGGTTGAGTCACCGTCCCTGGATGTGTTTAAGAGCCGTTTGGAGATGTGGTGCTTGGAGATATGATTTAGCAGAGGGTTGGTAGAGTGAGGGTGCTATGGTTAGGCTGCTGTTGGACTTGATGATCCTTGAGGACCCTTCCAACCTGAGTAATTCTATGATTCTATGTGTTTTCAAGGTAGGCTGCTGTTGTACATCCCCTCCTCCGATGCTACGGCCGGGAGGTGTTTATTAAGAAATATAACACGCACAGCAGTAAGTGCAGGTGGGATGGGGTCTGCCCTTCTGAGCTGCTGGCAGCACTGAACCCAACCCATCCCCATCGCCGTGCAGGCAGCAATCTGCTTTTACACCCAGGTTTGGGAGGGGGGAAAAGATGAAAGAGGCGTTTGCACCATCGATATCCCATAAAGCACAACGTGTGCTTTATCCCATTGCTTACATCTTCAGAACTACAGAATTGTTAAGGTTGGGGGAGATCACTAAGGTCATCCAGTCCAGTCATCAATCATTGACTCATTTGTGATGTTCTGTGCAGCCTCTGTGGGGGTGGGCTGCTGTAGAGTGCTCAGTGTGCCCCAAATTCCCCACGTGGGGCTCTTTGTGGGGGTGTCCCCTCCAGACCCTACCTGGGTAATGGCACAGCGTGCCCACAAACTGAATAACCCTTAAAAAAGGCATTTTGATGGAGCATCACCATCCCACCCCAACGTGCCAACGCTGAATATAGGAGGGGGGGGGGGGGAAATCAAAGCTGGCTCATCCAGCGGTCTGCACATATGAAAAACGTAGGGAAAAAGCATCATAAGAACACACGAAAAAGCATCACGTCATCTCAATTTTTAGCAGCAGGCAAATGGAAGAGGCGTGGGACAGAACAACACCTGGATCTGGGGACGCACTATGACCCAATGCTCACTGTTTGAGATTCACCCCAAGAGAGATGACCAAATGCAACAGAACGGCTCAGAGTTGCATCTGGGGGTGGGAGAAGACTGAGATGTGCAGAGAGCAACAGTTGTTGGAAGAAGATGATGAGCGTGCACTGGGCTGTATTGGGCTCGTTAAGGTATTTTGGGGGATTCGAAGGATGCTCTGTGGGAGCAGCACTTTCTGAGCATCACCCCATGCAGCCAACACCTCAACCGCACTCTGCACACATAGCACAGAAATGGAACTGTGAGCAATATCACACGTGTTTGCACGTCGGGTGAGGGGAAGCCCAAGGGCAAACCCCAGGGAAAGGCAGCAGCCGTGGGTGCAGCTGCACTGCATCCCTCCCAAACAGCAGAACGAGGAGATGCGGGGCTTTCTGTACATGCAAGGTTGGGCAGCCTGAGAGGAAAGGTGTGGGATCCAAAGCTGAGTTCCCTACAGCGCGACGATGGGAGCCGTGCAGTTGTGCTGTTGGAGTGCCTGAGCATCACAGCCCCAAAGGGAAGCGATTTGGAGGAAGAGGGAAAAAGAAAAAAAAAAAAAACAACACAAAAAGAAGACGTAGCATGTTTGTGAATCAGCCTGCTGAGCGTGTGTTTCGGGGGTGGAAAAGGTGGGCGATGTGCAGAGGAACAGAGCAGAGAGAGATGAGTCACAAAACGCCGCTTTCCCTCGCCGGCAGCACAACCATTGCAGCGTGAAATGGGAAATTTCATCTTTCCATGTTGTGTTTTTTTTTTGTTTTTTTTGGTTTTTTTTCTTATGGTTGGGAATGGGTTGGAGCCATCACCTCTGTGCTGAGCTGGGGGGGAGGGAGGGAAACATCCCTATGCTGTGAGCAGCAGCCATGCAATCGTGTTACTGATGGGGCAAAGAAAGTTGTGTGTATGCATAACATCAGCAATATGGAGAGGCTGAGCTCTCAGAGCATGGAAATGCCTGCCCAGAGCCCTGCACAGTCTGCAGCGACTGTCTGCCCACTAATTGGAGATATTTAATATCTGCTTCCTCCTGCAGTGTGGGCAGTGGGGCTGCAAACAGCATTCTGGGCTCCCAAAGAACACAATACCCCAAATCAATATATATACACACACACACTTATATATAAAGATCCATGGTCATCACTTCTCACCTGATGTCAGAGCTCTGCAGCTCTTTCTTTGAAATGCAACAGCTCCAGAAATAAAAACAGTCAGAGGGGGATTTAAGCAGCTCCCCAGCGTATGTCAAAAAATGGTTCTTGGGGGAGGGGATGGTGCATCTCAGGTTGTGATTCATGGCACCTCTGGCAGTTTGATTCAGGTTTAGGAGGAAATGAATGAATGAAAACCGCTGGAGCTGCAGGTCTGCCCTGAGCTGTGAGACTGGGGTTTTCTTCCCCCTTCTGAACTCTTTGCATGCACAAGTGAGACACCCAGCTGCCTCGTGCTTCCGCTGACGAAATTTAATTTAAATTCAAATTAAAATACCATCTAACATGAGCCATCTTCATGGTCACTGCTCTGTCCCAAACCACAACCCCAGTGGGCTCTCCCAAACCAGGCACCCAAGCGCTGGCTCCTGCAACCTCAGCACAACCTGTGAGCTCCCACCACACTGGAAGAAAAGTTATTGGCCCAAAAGTGAGGTTTTAAAGCAGAACCAGTATGCCACAAAGGGCTCCTTTTTGCCCAGAGAGGTGGAAGTCCCTGCAGACCCCCAGGATCAGGCTGTAAGCACTGATGGAGCTGTGGATGTCCCTGTGCCATGCAGACAGTGGGACCAGATGGCCTCTGGGGGCCCCTTCCAACTCAAACGATTCTCTGGTTTTGCAAAACATTAATGATAATTGCACGATATCCAAGTTGCAGCCATGGGATGTTCCCAGGGCAGCTGCCTTCGTGCACCAGCAGCCTGCAAGAAACACGGGGTCTGAAGCAAAGGCTGCACCACAGACAGAGGTGAGCACGCAGCCATTGCTTGGAGAGGTGTATGTATGTGTGTGTGGAGGGGGGAATAGAAAAAACAACAAATTGCCACCACTAGCCCTTTGCTTTGCACCCACATCACGCGGTGCTGGGCCTGACTCAGCAGGGATGATTCACCTGGGCAAACAGGGGAGAAGCCACTGCGCTGCTGCTGCTGCTGCTGTGTGACCCCGCTGCGGGGCACCGCATGCACACCAACCCAGTGGGGACACTGGGGAAGGAGCCCATCGGGGGCAGCGTTCCCAGAGCTGGGGCATCCATCTGGGAGCGATGCTCGGCCTCAAAGCAGGGGAATCCCAAAGCTGAGGGCTCCCAGCTCACGGAGCGGGGCTGCAGCTGCCCGCTCCTAACGCAGCCGGGGCGGGGAGCAGGTGGGATGCGCGCTGCTCGGTGCTGCTGCAGGGAGACGCGGGGTCAGCGCTGGGAGCACCTCACTGCTGCGCGAGAGGAAGTGCAGCCCCGGTCCCGTCTGACAAACGGAGCTTTTCCCTAACCTCAGGCGCAAGGATCAAACAGAAAGGAGACCCAACAACGCGCTCCGACCCGGGACAGAGCACAACCCGCTCAGCTCCGAGGCATCACCCGCACCTCCGAAGCCCCGCAACCCTCACAGCCCCGCACAGTCCCCACCGAGCGCTCCCGACCCCGATTTTCTCACCGGCTCTCCTCCAGAAACCGCACACATCCCCGCTCCGTCCCCTCCGCCAACGAAGAACTTCACCCACCCCGCACAGCGGAACGGCCCAATTAACCCCATCCCGCTAATTACCCTCCACCAACCCCTCCCTACCCAACAGGTGCCCCCATTCCCACTCACTCACCATTGGGGCCGTACTTCTCCCGGTTGCGGCGGACCTGCTCGGGGCTGAGCCCGCAGCTCTCGGTCACACCGAAGCGGCTCAGCACGTCCCGCACCGGCACGCTGTGCGCTGCCTCCATGCCCCGCCGGCGCCGCCCGGAGCAAACCCGGGGCCGGCGGGGGACGGGGAGGACGGGGACGCGCAGAGAGCGCACTCGGGTACCGACGCTCCCTCGGTACCTCCGGGGAAGGGGAGCCCCGCTCCGGTCCGCCCCCCGCTCCGCCCCGCTGTCGTTTCCCCCGCCTCCCCCAGAGCCGCCCCGCGGTCCGCCGCTTCCGTGAGTTTCATCGCAAAGTTTTAGGAAACAGCTGTGGTGCAGCTCTCCGAGCAGCCACCCGCTTCCTCACCGTTCAGTCTGATGCTGGAAGACATAGGAAGGCTTTATCGGTACCAAAGCGCTGCGTGGGACCTCCCCCCTCTCTCCCCCCCCATTGCCCACTCAATGCTGCTGTTGGTGATCCCCAGCAGCCGTGCCCTGAATGGGGACATCCCGGTGACAAAGGGAACCCCGCAGCACGCGGAATGCCCATCGCTGTGAGGTATCCGGAGAGATACACAGCACAGAATGTGGGCAGGAGGCAGGAAATATCCCATGCACATGGCACAGCATCACTGCCACCCCACGGCCAGGTCACCCCGTGTCAGGGCTCTCAGGGCTGCACGGTGCTCCTCTGCCCATGGCACAGCACCTCCATGGGAGCCCACACGATGAGCAATCGTTCTGTCCCAGTGTTGGTCCCTGTTGGAAGAGGCTCCCCACTGCACAACATGCAGCCTTTGCATTGCTGTTCTGCAATTTAAACGGTGGTTCCTTGCAGCAAGAGCTCTGCACACAGCAACACCATCCTGAGTTCATAGAATCATAGAATTGTTGAGTTGGAAGGGACCCCCAAAGGCCATTTACTTCCACTGCCTGCAATGCACAGGGACACCCACAGCTCCATCAGTGCTCAGATCCCTCCAGCCTGACCCTGGGGGTCTGCAGGGACGGGGCATCCACACCCATCTACCAAAGCAGGGCTGCCCCAAAGCCCATTGGTACCACCCAACAGCCATCCCACACCTATGGGATGTGCAATGCCTCAAGCTCTCCATGCTGGGAGTGTTGACGGGTCTCCGGGCAGGAGGAAGCAGCTCCACGGGGAGGAGCTCAGCCTCATTTATTTATCCAAGCACTTATTTATAGAATGCCTTTCTCACATCCCACCGGAGCAGAGGGCCTGGAGGAAGTGCAGCTTTGTGCTCTCCAATGCTCTAAATTCGGTTTTCCTGCTGTGAGATGGGCCCTCCCGGCCCCTCCTGCAGGAAGCAGCTCCACACCCTGTGGCTTCCAGTTGCTGTCTGCCTCCCGAGAGCTTTTGGGGGTGAAAGCTGTATTTCTTCTATGTGTGGCTTGTAGTAGCCTGAGGGAGAATAAATTCCACCTGTTGCATGGCATAGCTTTGGGGTATCACTGGAAATGGTTGGGATGAAAAGGACCTTACAGCCCATCCCGTTCCAACACATGGACTGGTTGTCCCCCACCAGACCAGGCTGCCCAAAGCCCCACACAACTTCCCCTGGGGCACCTGCAGGGATGGAGCAATCTCATTTCTTTGGGCAACGTCTAAGAATCTCTATTCCAAGCCCTTCATCCTGCAGGTTGGCACTGGAAGGGAGCACGAAGGTGATGCCCGGGCTCAGAAAGTTAAAGATTGACAAAATTGGGAGCAATCAAAAAGTCCTGCGGGAGCCAGCTGTCAGCAAAGGTAACACCAGCAGCCCTGCCTGTAATTAAGCAGTTCATGACAACTATTAGCAGTCAATTAGCCCAATACTGACCAGTGATGGCAAATGGTCTGCAGAGAACACAGCCCCAAAATGGGCACGGGTCAGCGAGGCCATGGGGTGGGAAATGAGGCCCTATGGCCCCACGCTGGGGGTTCCCTGCTGCAACAGCATCAGCCCCAGAAGAAAACAAAAGGCAAATCTCCTTATTTCTGTTGCTTTCCCCCATGGTTTGAGGGGCTGGGCTGAACCTGCGCTGCTCCCAAACCCACCCTCACTGGGGAAGATTTGCTTTTATCTCTATTCTGCTCCCAGAAATTGGGAAAAGAAGGAGCTTTGCTGGCTCCCATCTGCAAGCTGAGCCAGGAGCAGCTTTTTTTTTCCACAGCAGCTTTGATATTTGCTTTTCCTATGGATTAAAAAAAAAAGAAAAGAAAAGAAAAAAATACAAACCACCTTGAAATAACACTTTGAGGCTCTTCTAAATGCTATGCGCCAGCCGACCTTTCGGAGCCGTGCTCCAGGTGTTATTTTTAATCCCAAAGCCAAGGCTGCAGGCAGCCACAGGGAGGGCTCTGCTCCCACAGGGAGCTCCAAAAAAACACCAAAATGCCCTCAAAAGAGGTGCCAACCTTCACTTCGTGGCTGTGGTTGTCATGTTTCCATCTCTGCTGGAAACACAACCTCAGGGCCACCGAGATGTGTGGTTTGGGTGTTGGGTATCACTGGGTTTTGTGCTCTTAGAGCTCAGCTGGGTGTGCTGGGGGAGGGTTGGGTATCATTGGGATTTGTGCTCTTAGAGCTCAGCTGGGTGTGCTGGAGGAGGGTTGGGTATCATTGGGATTTGTCTTCTTGGTGCTGAGTTGGATTACCCTCACCAAGGCCCATGAACCACAGCTGCAGCCAGATGTGTGCACATCTGGAAGACGAATACAGATGCTCCTTGCAGAGCGTGCTTCCCCACTGGACTGGTGCTCTGTGCTCCATTCTTTCCAGCCCTCCAGGAGCAGGATTCCCCCCCTGTAGGACAGATGCTTTGCTTGGAATGATGCTGATATTTTTTTCTAAGTCTGCTGCCCTGAGCATTTAGGGACAACCCAAACCCATTTCCCAGTGGGAGTGCTGAGGGCTGCCCTGAGCCTCGCTGCTGAATTTCCTGGCATTTGCCCCAAACACTTCACTCAGTGTCTGTCTGTGGTTCCAGACCCATGTTGGGCAATCCTCATTTATTTACGTGCTGCGTCCTGACCTCTTTCAAAGGGAGGAAAACCCATTAATATCCACCGAGGGGGAACACCGTGACACTCACTGATGCTCCGATGGCTCTTTTCCCTGATGTAAAACACCTCCTGGAAAAAAAAAAAAGAAAAAAAAATAGTTTTTTTCTTTTTTTTTTTTAAATAAAAGCCTTTGTGGTGTGTGATTCCCCGTGCTGGCGTGTAGGAAAGAGCAAAAGCAAACAGGAGAGGAGGCTGCAGGGCAGAGCAAGGAGGGCACTGCGGCCCCATGCAGCCCTGGTGGGGTCTGTTCAGCTGTGGGCTGCTGGAGGGGAACTCATTGGGCACAGAGATGTGGGGGGATGGAGCTCACGTTGGGCCAAGTGACGGCGGCTTCCTTCCTCTTTCTGTTTTGTGTTTGCAGAGTGAAGGAGAGGAACCTCTGTGAAGCTGCAGGGAGAGGGAGGGGAGGGTGTGGGAAATAAAAGGGGGGGAAGGTAAAAGGGAGAAGTGAGAAAAAATA